TATTATTTGGCATTTTAATAAACAGATATATTAGGGCTCTCCAGAGTAACAGAATCATGGTGTGTGGGTGGAGAGAGAGAGAGATTATTTATTATAAGGAAATGGCTCATATAATCAAGGAAGCTGAGAAGTCTCATAATCTGCCAGAAATCCCAAGAGAACCCATTCCTTTAGTTCTAGTTTGAGACTGAAGGCTTTAAGAACCAGGAGAACTGATGGAAACATGTGAGCCTCAAACCCCATAACAGAAAGAAGTCTGGAGGCTGAGTCCAGGAAAGCAGTGTTGAAAGAGACAGAAGCCAGAACTCCTGGGCCTTTCCCTAGTCCAGAATGTTCTCCAGGAGAGACCAGCCCATACCTCAGCAAATCATAGTGGTAATTTCCAGAGGGGTAGGAGAGGGGAATGGATACCTCTGCTCTTGGGGACACATCTCTGCAGTAAAAGAAAGTCATCCGGTGTTACTTCTTGCTCTGACATTTGCAATAAGTCCCACTGGATTGAATTCATTTAGTCATGTCTCATTTTACCGACATGAAGCACCACCAGGATGTGAGAAGGACAGATCCAAGCTGGAAACCAGGAACTGGACAGTAGGGATGCATTGTTGGGGGGTAGGGCTCTCTGAGCCCCTAGGTGAGAGGAGTCCCCATTCGCGCTCCCCCCCTCCCCCCCAGGACAAGAGGTCCTGCCTGGATGGCATGGCTTCATATTCCCTGGTTGCTTTTGATTCCTCTCTGTTTAGGTGATCCCAGAGACACACAGAACTGGGGCAGCGTTAAAATAGCGCATCAGCATAGAGGGAGGGTCAGGGAGGGAACTGGGGCAACGTGCAGAGCACAGGTCCCAAGAAATCAGGTCTTAAAGGAGAAGGTTGCAGATTTGCAGAATGAGAAGTAAATGGTCCCCGGAGCACAAGAACTTTAATTTTCATTGCAAGATAAATGCTCAAGAAGATTGGGAGAGTTATAACTTGAGCCAGTTGCTGCTGTCCTGGCAGTAAAAAGGGGCCAAGACCCTGCACTGGGTGGCAAATACAGGTTTGTCACCTCTGTTCCCTGGTCTCTGGTCCCACTGGGGAGTCCCCTCTTAGGCAGGACACCGTTGAATGACAGGAAGCAGCTGGGTTCTTCTGGCTGATCAAACTGTCCTCTGCTCTTCTGACTGTATAACCTTGAGCTGGTCTCTTGGTTCACTCCCGTCACTTTGTCGGTGTCAAATTGTAGACACAACATGTGCAGGGCACTGCCTCTGAAAGTCAGTCAGATGGAAGAGAGGAAGGCAGCGGATGCACTTACTGTCTGTCCACCTGGCTTCCAGGGCAATGGGTAAGGTCTGGTCTCAGATGCAGTTTCGGGGTCTCCTGGGGACTCCACCTGTTGCTTTCTCTTTCTCGTAAGGGAAAATCAGGCATCTCCTATCTGCTTCTTGAGTGCCGATGGAGGTCTCAAGAAATTTAACAAAATCGTGTCAGTTGGACAACTTTGCAGGACTGATTTTAATTTGATTTGGACTGTTTTCCAAAAATGGTATCAACATTTCTTAGACATCTTAACCTTTAAATAGCTCATGGAGATCACAGAATTTATCATTCCATAGGGCTGTTGGTGTTGAATGGTGCCGGGATAATTATGAGAAAAAATTGGGGCAGCAGAGGGGTAGAATCCATCTTGATCACCAATGACCTTTTCAGGAAAGAAGGAGAGACAGACATTCGTTTTTCCCTTAGCTCTTCCCTTAGCTCTTCAAAGTTTTCTATTTTTCTTACCTGTTGCCTTTTAATTTCCATTTAAAAGGTAATTTGCAAACTCAGCATCTCATAGCCAGTGCTGTAGGCTCGGGGCCAAGTGGAAAGCAAAATTCGGTCCTTCCATATTAACACAATTCCCCAGGCGGGGTGGGGTTGGGGTGGGGTGGGGTGGGGTGGGGGTAAGGTGGGGAGGGAATTATTTTAGTTTATGGAATTATCCGGGACTGTGGGGACTTCAGGAGAAATTGGGACTACATGGGAGATTTGAAGTATTTAGTAATAGTGATGCCTGTGGCATTTCGGTTGTTTCTGCTGTGTAACTCCTGCTAGTCACACGGCTTGGCAAGGTGCACGCTGGCTGTCAGACTTCCTGGGTGTTGTGTGCCAGCTCTGGTTGTCTTGGGCAAGTGACTTTCCTTGATGTCCTCTTCTGCAAAATAGAGTTAATGTTGGTACCCACCTCATACTATGCCAACGGGAAGACATGTAAAGCCCAGTGGTTGCCCATAGTAATGGCTCAATAAACGTGACCTGTTATTATCGTGTGCAAGAGTGGGTCCTGTAGAGGTTAACAGGGACCGTGGTCCACATTGGCTGTAGGAAAGTGCCATACGAGGTGCTCTGGAAGTTCAAAGGCATCCGATAGAATTCGCAAGCAAACTGACCACCCTCTCGCACTCTGCATGGTCTCGGCCTGTGCACCCTATGCTCCATCACCCTATCTCTCAGCCCCCAGATCCTTCCCCCAGTCTTCCTGTTTCTTCCTCCTCGTCAAGGGCTGCCTGTGTGATGATGAGGCTACCACATACATGCTTTTTAGCATGCTTTCAGGTTTTTTATCTCATTGTCTTCTAGCAAGAGTAAGGTAAATAACTATTTTTAGGAAACAGGTCGAAGGAGGATAGATTATTGCCAAGGTTTTCAGGCCAGAAAACTCAGGGTATCTTGGCATTTCCCATGACATAATAGAGTTTGAGTTATGTCTGGAGCCTTAACCCCCCCCCCCCCCCCCCCGATAATGATCTAAGTGGCCCTAACTGTGCTTTTGCTGCAATGTAGGCCTCTTCCTACTATAGTGGCATGTCCTCCCAATCCAACTCTTTCTTAAAACCCTGTTCTGAGGTATGTCTTCCCAGCACCACCTAGTAATTAACTCCATTCTGAAACTACCTACCTGGAGATAGCATCAGATCCCTCAGGTGAAGGGCTCAGTCCCATAAGACTGCCTCCCCCTCTCCTATCAAACACCAATTACAAGTCCAGGTTGTCATCTGTGCTTCCAACCAACTGGCTGTTAATCAATCAGAGGTTCCCACAACCCCCTCCTCACTTTCATGCCGTTTGTTAGAGCAGCTTACAGAACTCAGAGAAACATCTCATTGCTAGACTAGCAGTTTGTTATAAAAGTGTATAACTCAGGAACAGCAGGTGGAAGAGATGTACAGGACATGGTATGGGGAGAGGGCTCGGAGCTTTCATGCCTTCTTCAGGGGCACCCCTCTTCCTGAATCTCTCCACGCTCATCAGCCTGAAAAGCTCTCTGATCCCTGTCCTTTTGGGACATAAAAATGATCAGTGATGACCCCTTGTAGACCTTCTTGTTGGGTGGCTGCTTCCCAGCCCTTTAGCTGTAACTCCTTTCCTGCACTCCATGAATCACATCGGGATCCAGAGATTGGCTAATGCTGTTATTGCGATAACCATGAATCTGTTCTGTTACCAGGAAAGTGAAGAATGTCTGAGGTGTAAGGTTTTTTATTAGTAACAAATCACTTTAACACCTAGCAGTGTCTGTGTCAGGACCCGGTCCAGAGCTCATTGCAGCCGCCCTGGCCTGCCCGCAGCCCTGGGCCCTCCGCCTGCAGACAAAGTGCTGACTTAGCAAGTTTAAAGTAGACACATCCTGTAGCCACTTAAATTGTTGCAAAATTGGTATTTTGAGTCAGAAAAGAAGGTGAGCCAGCCTCTGAAGAAAATGAGGCAATCTTCTGGTGGCTGGTCATTCTGTGGGATGCTATTTGATATAAATATAGGTTTATTTGCAGAGAGCATGTCCAAGGTTGCCTGAGTAAGGGCGCATGGAAAGGAAAGACGTTGGTGAAGGTTTGGAATTCTCCTGTCCTGGAGCAGCTATCAGTTCCCACGAACTCCCAGCCTTTTATCTGTTTCATAAGAAATGTCACTGATAGATATTACCGGCATCTAATAAAATTGTGCATAGAACATTCTGATTGAAAATTAACAGAAGAGCCAAATCTTCACAACAATAGCTTCTTAATAGTATTGAATCTTTTGGTAGAATGGGGAAAAATCCATTGAAAATAGTTTCAATAAAAGTAAGATGGGGGAATTTGGAAGAAGTTTATTGGTATTTATAAAAATAGCTCTGGCAATGCTCAGTGGTTAGAGTGTTGGCCCAAGTACTGAAGTGTCTCGAGTTTGATTCCCAGTCAAGAGCACATCCTTGGGTTGCAGGTTTGATCCCCAGACCCGGTTGGATGCATGTGGGAGGCAACCAATCTCTATGTCTCTCACATTGATGTTTCTCTTCCTGTTCCTCTCCTTTTCCCTCTCCCTCCCTCCCCCTCCTTGCCCCCACCTCTCCCTTCTATTCTCCTTGGGTGAGGATTAACAATAAAAATAGTTTATAAAAAAATAAATCAAGGGACATGTTTGCTTCATGGAGTTCAGCTCAGAAGATTCTCAACTGAAATCTCCAATACCGATAGAATTCTAATGAAACCCCTTGGTTGTATAGACAGTCCACACTGGTGAATAGAACCCTGTGCTTGCCTGGTGTTGTGAAACAGCTGTTAACTCTCAGTGGCATATGGCCAAGGCATGCGAAGCATTTTGGAGCACTCTGGCTTGCACACTTAGGTTCGAGGGCTGTGACGTGGAAGGGTGTTCAAGGCTTTGTTGTTCAAAGACAGATTATTTATTGTAGTTGCTCTGATTTGATGCCTGCCTATTCCTATTGCCCATTAGGCAAGGGTCTAAAAAAAAATAAAACTCAAATTGGCTGTTGGTGACTTCTGATAAATTTCAATGACTAGCATATGACTGGGAGAGCATGGGTGAATAAATGGTAATCAGGGGCTGTGATAAAATAACAAACTTTTGGGTGATTTAATGAAGGAGAAATCAAGTCTAAAATATATCACAATGCCATAGTCACTTAGGAGTATCTACATTTATCATGAATATACTTAGTTTAGAGAAAACATTTCATCCTGTTTTCCTCTTTTTCAGGTTTCAAGTGCCCCATTTGCTCCAAGTCTGTGGCTTCCGATGAGATGGAAATGCACTTTATAATGTGTCTGAGCAAACCTCGCCTCTCCTACAATGGTAAGCGCTTGGCTGGGAGCTTCTGAGTGAGGTCTTCCCAACCTCACGTGCCTCTGGGCAGCATTTCCACCACCTTCCGGCAGGAATAGCCAGGGGACACCTGACCGTTAGGAAGTCTTGCTGCGCCGATCAGAGACGAAGAGCAGTGGGACAAGGAAGGCAGGCCCAGGGGTCAGGTCCATGGTACCAGGAGGTCTCTTGGGTCTCTCAGTCTCTCCGCCCTTTTTCTGTCCCCTTGGTTCCTTGGACCTCAGGTTGGGTGATAGAGCTCTGCCCATCCTCACACCTGACAGCAGAGGGTGTGACCTCTCCTCGGGGGACGGGGAGTTTGTGCCACTGGTTCGCATGGAGTGCTTAAGCCCTGGCTCTGCATAGCAGAACGGGTGCAAGATGTGGACCCCCTTAGGGAATTAAAACATTGAGCTGCCACCTGGTCACTCCTGCCATGGAACCTGCCTCAGAGCTGAGCAGTGAATACACGGGTAGGAAACTGGGCCAGGGATTCCGTGAAACCCTGAGTGGTACCTCTGTGGACGAAATGAGTGTCAGCATCTGCCCGGTATGCCGTGGAATAGGATTTGGAGCCTGGCTGATCTGAGTTCAAAGCCCGCTGCAACCACTTACTGTACTATTATCCTAGACAAGTTGCTCGGTTTAGCAGAGCCTATGTTTTCTGGTCCGTAAAATGGTGACATCGATACCTAGTTCTTAGTATTTTGTCAGGATAAAGTAAGATATCCTCCTCTATAATAAAAGGCTAAAATGCAAATTGTCCCCTTAACCGGGAGTTTGACCAGGGTGTGGGGCCAGCTAGCCAACAACCTGAGGCCCTCCTCCTTCCTCTCCACTCCCAATAGGCCGGATTGGGGGCAGGCCAGACCCCACCCATGAATTTGTGTACTGTGCCTCTAGTTACATATAAAACCCTTCAGCACAGAGCCGGCACATGTCAGTGCTCAGGAAGTTACAGCAGCCCCGAAAGAGGTGAGACCATCTTGGGTTTCTTTTTGTCATTTTGTGGAGTGGACTGACTTCTCTTTTGTGCTGCTAATGGCTCTTTGGTTTTCCATCTTTTATTTTATTTTATTTTATTGATTTGAGAGAGAGAGAGAAAAACATCAATGATGTGAGAGAATCATTGATTGACTGTCTCCTGCACGACCCCACTGGGAATCGAGCCACAACCCGGGCATGTGCCCAGACCAGGGATCAGACAATGACCGCCTGGCTCATGGGTCTACACTCAACCCCTGAGCCACACCAGCTGGGCAGTGGCTTTCCATTCTTATGTGCTCAGTTCGGGCTTCCAACCATGTTCATTAGAGAATGTGTCCTCCACGAGAACAGGCACTGGATCTGAGTGGGACGCACCCGGACCCTGGCACCGGGCCCGCCTTCTAGGATTAGAGTCACAGCCGTGCTAGGAAGAGAGCCCTGTGACCTCTCAGGGGATCTGAGGACTGGGCAGGAGGTGAGCCTGGATTGCTTGGCCCCGTCCTCATGGTGAAAGTTTCCTGGGTAGACTCTTTACAGACCTGTCCTTGGGCTCCTGCCTCCCCATGCCCTCCTTCCTCCACCCAGCATTAGCCCAGGGAGGCCTGGGGATTCCAGATTTTTCCTGTGAAATGAACCTGACAAAGCGAACCCACTCACTTCTCCTGAAAACATATGCTAATGTTCTCCTCTCTTGTTTACTTGCTCAGCGAAAGGCTCTGGGTGCATGTGTGCGGGATGGTTACTTGCTGTCTCAGCTATATGCAGTCTGGTAGGAGGCCCAGCCACGGGAAGGTTCTGGCCCTATCTCTATCCCCAGAGTTTCTCTCCCCTTCACATTCTCCTGGCGCCCAGGAGCCCCTTCGTCTCCCCAGCGGACAGCCTCTCCCTGTCCCTGCCGTGTTTGAATCAGTTGTCACGCGCACTCTGGGCTTCGCGGTGGACTTGTCAGTGTGCGTCCCTTGGAGGCTGCTCTAGCTCCTCTTTGTCCTGCTCCTCATCGCTGCCTGGGACCCCGGCAGAGAGTCTTCTCCCCAGCCCCGGCCTCAGAAACTGCTCGCTTATTTCCCACACTGCACAGAGCCGCATGAAGACCGCTTTTTGTCCCGGGGGGTTGCTGGGAAGAGTTGCTGTAGACACTGCCTGTGTCATAAGGACACAAAGCCGCCTCAGAGTGGGCTCCCCCGAGAGGGCTGGGCTCCTGGTGTCACCAGGGACGACCTCACAAAGGCAGCTGTGGAGGGCAGAGTGCTCTTGGGGCCGCCTGAGAACGGGGTACCACTGGTCCCATGTGGAGAATGGGCAAGAGGGGCTCTGACCTGGAGAACTGCCAGGCTGCCCATCGGTCTCCTCTCCTTCGCCTTCACCTCCATAGGAGAGAGGCTTTGGCAGCCCCTGTGGTCTGAGCACAGGTCCCCCGCAGAAGCCACACTCAGTCAGAGTCCCCTTAGAGGACAGGAGGTTGGCTGGCCAGCCTGAGGCACCACTGTGGCTGTTCCCATTTTTTCTCTCCTCCTCAGTGTGTGTGGTGTGTGTGTGTGTGTGTGTGTGTGTGTGTGTGTGTGTGTGTACATGCACATGCACACACATGCAAGCTAGAGGCTTTAAGCTCAAGAATCTCCTTTGCAAAAGCCAGTGCTTTACCACGAGAGGACGTTTTGCATGGGTCCTATCAGTGGAATTGGCCATAAGGTGCTGAGGTGCTTCAGAAACAGTGGTCTGGCCCTTCTGTGTGCACTGTTAGTGTGAAAGGAGGCTTGGATTGGACTCCTCATATTGTCTTTCCTTTCTGAAGACACCTAGACTTCCAGGTAAGAAGGCGTCGGCCCCCTGGGGTTTGTACCTGCAGTGGGAGTCTCCAGGGCTGGCATACGTCCTGTACTTGTTCAGATAAAGCATGGGCCTTTCAGGGTCCACAGGCCAAAGCCCCAGGCAGGACCTCTAGATATTTATTTTGGTTTTGCCAGTAACATATCTAACCCAGGATTTCTTACCATACCAACCTCCCAACTTCACTTTATCTTTTCTGATTAAAAGAAGTGAGGAGACTTAAAAAAGTCTGTGAAGCATAGAACTCGCAGAATCTTTCTGGAAAGGGGGCAGGGGGAGACTTACCCAGTTAGAGAGAGAAAAATGCTATTTTCTCACGAAGATTCACTAGCACTCCTGCTCGCTGCCCTGGAGGTCTCCCCTCTACACACACACACGTACACTTTCTGTAATTGCTGGCACCAGTTGGGGATTTTCGAAGAAAATTTGCAGTGGTTATAAAAGATGAAATTTAGTTAACCACCAAAGGGAAAAAAAGTAGAAACCTCCTAAATGAGGCGGACAGAAAGTAGTATTTTTCTTATTATGAGGGTTGGCCTGAGCCGCTGGTTGGAAGGCCTCCAGTAGCCGCCTGCCAGATTAAAACACACACCAAACACTTCAGCAAAGACAAGACTAGTTCAACTGGTTTGCCCGGGTGCTCAGGAGAAATGCAAAGTCCTGTAACCTGTGCTGGGGCAGGTGCCAACCCCTGCTGGAGGGCCAGGGAGGGCGCCAGGCCCCAGAACACTGCCCCTTCCATCGCTCCTGCTCCTCTCCCAGGGCAGCTCGGAGCCCAGGACTCCTAGGAGATGAGGAAGGAGTTGGAGAGACCCATTTTTGTGGGTAAATGTGGTCAGCTTGAATGGGACTTTTCACTTCTCTCCCTTTCCAACATCTGTTTGTAGTTCTGAGACTGGGGGAATTTGCCCTCAAGAATATGTACTCAAAATTTTACTAACAAATTGCTCAGCTAGCAGAGTGAGCCTCAAGGTGGGGAACCTGTTTCTGCTATGAACACATGAGAGTCAGATCCTGAAAGCATAGGAGGCCCTGGTTCCAGGACCAGCCAGGGGCTCTTGGCCCTGGGAAAATCTGGTGTGTGGCAGGTTCCATTGCCATTGGTATTAGGAGAGCTTGGTGGTGCTCAGAGCAGCTTCAGAAGTTTCTCCTTGGCTTTAACATTTTTTTTAAATATTTTATTTTAGAGAGAGAAGGAGAGGGGGAGAGAGAGAAAAACATCAATCAGCTGCCTCCTGCATGCCCCCTACTAGGGATCGAGCCAACAACGCAGGCATGTGCCCTGATCCAGAATCAAATGGCAACCGGTGCATGGAACAGCATTCAACCAACCGAGCCACACTGGCTAGGGTTTCCCTCAGCTTCCTTTTGGGAGTGCGGACCCCATGCCCTGATCCTTCAAGATTCTGACTACCCTTCCTCTTATCTGCCAGAGGTCATTGTCCCCTACTTCAGGCCTCTTGAAATACTGAATGCCACACAAGGTTTAAAGGAGAGGGAATTGGGTTCCTCTCAAAGCAGGAATACCTGCTGCTAGTTTACCCCTAGCTGAGCCAGCAGGCCCGAGCAAGTGGTGCTTTTTTGGCCCGTGTACCCTCTGAGGCCCTGTATTTGGAATGGTAATGCCTTTTCTTGGGTCTGGGGAAGCCAAGTCCCGGCCAAAGGTTTGCCTAGCCCAAGAGGGCACTGCCAGGAGAGGTTGTTAGATGCTATAGCAGCTGCTGAGTCCCGGCAGCAGAGGTGTCTGGCCTAGTGTTCCTCCTGCAGAGGGAAAGGAGGAAGGTGCTCCCAGCAGCTGCTGATTGGCAGGCAGGGCTGCTGGGGGAGTGAGGGGGTGGGGGGTGGGAAGGAGGCCAAAGGAGGGAGCTGAGTGGGTGGTTGTGGGAGCTTCTGTAAATCGAAACCCTCTGGCCGAGCTTTAGTGGTTCATCCCTCTGGGGTGTTGCCATTGCAGCCCACCTCGCCAACACAACTGGATCACACCTCACAGTCCCGGGGTCCTGGGCTAAGGATGATGGTGGGGGAACTCACTCTGCTAAAAGTCTCCCCTTTGCCCAGAGACTCCGCAGGAATGGAGCTGGCAAGTTTTTGGTTTTGGTTTTGGTTTGTTTTTCAGAGAGAGGGAAAGAAAAAAAACATGAATGATGAGAGAGAATCATTGATTGGCTCCTCCTGCATGTCCCCTACTAAGGATCAAACCCAAAACCCAGGCATGTGCCCTTGACTGGAATCGAACCTGAGACCCTTCTCTCCAATTCTCTATCCACTGAGCCAAACCAGCCAGGGTGAGCTGGCAAGTCTTGGTGTTGGCGGCACTGCCCCTTCCTGTCCCTCAGAAGACGAGGCCAGCAGCGTGGTGCATGCTGAGAAGCTGCAAGACCAGGTTTTCTGCACCTAGGCTGGAAATGAGGCCAGGGGGTGGAACCTGTTCTGTCATTTGCTGGGGTTCTCCCTCTGGCTCCCACCTCACTTCCTACCAAGGCCTTGCCTGGCATCGGGTACAAGGGGAAACGTACTGAACATTCCCACACTCGGCTGCTGGCTGTGTGCTCCACATCCGCCTCCCCTCCTGGCTGCTGGCAGGAATGTATGTGTAGCTGTTCTGGCTTCCCCACGCCCTCCTTGTCACCAGGAGTTCTGGGGTCCCATTTTGGATCTAGAGAACTTTGCCTGCCCCTCTGGTTTGGTTCCCTGGTCTGGTTGGAGGGGTAGGCATTGGAACCATTTTGTACCACCCCCAGTCAGGCCAAACACTTCCGGAGCAGTGATGTTGGCCTTGCCCAGGATATCAAGATGCTTGGGAGGGGCTTGGGAGGCGGTGAGAGAAAGGCAGAAAGCACAGCGTTGTTCCTGTGCTCATCAGCCGGAGTTGGTCGGCTCCTCCTCGGGACCTGGGGGTGCCAAGGGGCATTTGAGTTCATCTGCAGAGCAGCCTCAGCTTGTGCCAGGCCCGGTGTCCTTGCTTTGTGCTGTGAGGTCCTCCCGCAGTGGGCAGCGGGCTCCCATCTGAGAGGAATCGGCTGATAGCCAAGCTTCCGCTTCCGTCATTTCCCCTTTCCTGCTTGGCTCCCAGAGACATCTGGGGGCCGGTGATTTCCAGGGCCCCAGGGACTGGGACAGGAAGTTTTACTCAGCCCACTCAGGCATGTTCCTGCCTTTCACTGTGAGAAGAAGGCTGCCTCCCTGGGCTCTGCTGGGTGTGAGCACCACCGCTGGCTTCCCCACGCAGTCAGGTCCCACGCCCCATCCCAGCAACCTCCAGGCAGCCTGTGGGTTTACAGACAGAGAAAATGACCACAGACTCTCCAGGGGCCAAGCAGCTGAGAGTGGCTGTTCTCCCAGCTCCTGTGCGCGGGAACTGATCTATGGGGTTGGCTTTATCTTGGGCTTTTCCCTCAGGCTTCCTGGTGAGGGGCTTTGAGTCACCATAGCCTTCTAGGCCCTGAGGAATCTTCATTTCAGAGGCCCCAGATACTGTTCTTTACAACCAAGTAATCAGAGGGCAGTGGAGAAGGGTGCCAACTAGAGGGTCCCCCATCTGCACGACCTTTCGTGAGCCCTGTGACTTAGACAAGATGCCTGACTTCTGGCTTCAGTGTCTTCATAAAGTGAGAACACATGTGCCCTGCCTGGCTCCTAAGATTGTGAGGCTGAAGTGAACACACACAGGAAACCTCAGTATGTCTCATGGACAGCGTCCGCGAACAGTTACAATCTTAGTAGTGGAGAACTGGTCCTGTTTTAAGCTCTTCTTTCTTCACATCCATAAGCCTGCTCTCTCGGTTTTTCTCCTGTGGCTTTGAGAAGTTCTGGGTAACCTTTGCTTACGTCCCCTCTTTCACCAGCCTTTCCGATATTAAGGTTGACCTAGGTTTGTATTCGGCTTTCTTTGGGTTTCATTTGAAACTTTCTTCCCAGTTGACCTCTATGCCTCATCTATAACCTGTCACCCACATCTCTCTTCTAAATCCCAGATGATCAACCCATATACCAAGGGGTGGCAGGTTCAATTCCTGGTCACCCCATGGCCCAGAAGTCTGCACCTGCCCTAGCAAACCTCCTGGGACCGGCAGGAGGTTTGCTAGGGCAGGTGCAGACATTGTTCCCTTTGCCTGGAATATCCTTTTCTGAATAGTTCCCAACCCAGTTAGACATTTTTCAGACCTCTCATACCTGGGCCTCTATGCATCATAAGACTTCCTAGAAATTGCTGGGCTATTCATTTCCGTTTTCTTATTAAGACTCTGAGCTTCTCGCATCACTGAGTCACTAGTGCCCAGAATGTCTTAGACATCTAGTAGAGGGCTGCTGACGCATTGTGGTGCTCTTCCTGTCCTGCTCGGCTTTTGCTGGGGCCCATGGTGTGCAGTGGCTTCCTTCCATTCACTCTTTTTTGTGGGGGCGGGGGACAGGGGAGGAGGAGATGGGAATCTTTTTTTTTCTTTTTCTTTCTCTTTTAAAAAATTGAATTTAGAACATTCACAGCATTGGACAACCCCATGTCTATCTAGTTACAAACATTTTCATCACCCCAAAAGGAACCCTCCCGCATGATTCTAGATGTAACTAGAGACCCAGTGCAGGAATTCGTGCATGGATGCGGTCCTTCTGGGTGCCCTGCAGGGACTGAGCTGAGACCCGCAGTCCAGTCCAGTGCCATTCCTGCTCATCCTGGCCCCACTGTGCCTGCAGCAGGCTGGCATCCAATCCATCCCGCTTTCTGGCATGCCCCAAGGGGTCTCGGATTGAGAGAGGGCATAGGTCGGGGATGGACTGCAGAAGGGCCCCATGGCGTGTCCGGCCCATCTCGCTCAGTCCCGGATCAGCCAGCCAGACCCCAGCAGTAAGCTAACCTACCAGTTGGAGCATTTGCCTCCTGGTGGTCAGTGCACATCATAATAAGCAGTTGAACAGCATTAGCATATTATGCTTTGATTATATATTACCCTTTTATTATATAGGACTAGTGGCCTGGTGCACGAAATTTGTGCATGGGGAGGGAGAGTCCCCTCAGCTGTCCTCTACCCTCTCCAATCTGGGACCTCTAGGGGAATGTCCGACTGCCGCTTTAGGCCCAACGTCTGGGATCAGGCCTAAACTGGCAGTCAGACATCCCTCTCGCAATCTGGGACCGCTGGCTCCTAACCATTCACATGCCTGCCTGCCTGATCACCCCTAACCACTCTGCCTGCTGGCCTGCTCACCCCCAACTGCCCCTCCACCCTTCCAGCCTGACCACCCCTAATTCCACTCTCCCCCCACCGGCCTACTTACCCCCAACTGCTCCCCCCCCCCCACCGTCCTGCTCACCCCCAGCTGCCCCTCCACCCTTCCAGCCTGATCACCCCTAATTCCACTCTCCCCCCACTGGCCTGCTTTCCCCCAACTGCCCCCCCACCGTCCTGCTCACCCCCGACTGCCCTCCCCTGCCGGCCTGATCGCCCCTAACCGCCTCTGCCTGAGCCCCACCACCAGAAGGACGTTCAGAAGTCTCCCGATCTACTTAGCATAATACTCTTTTATTAGTATAGATATTTAAGATAGTCCACTTCATAGAACCAAGGCATGAATGGAATGATGCTTGTCAGGGGCTGAGGGGAGAGGGGATGGGAGTTGCTACTGAATGGGTACAAAGTTTCAGTTATACAAGATGAGTAAGTTGTAGAGATGTGTAACACTGTACCTATAGGTAAGAATGTATTGTATACTTAAAAATATGTTAAGAAGGCAGATCTCATGTTAAGTGTTTTTAACACAAAAAAGAAAAAAGAAAAATTCTTAGCATTAAACAGTCACTCCCCATTCCCTCCTGCTCTTGAGCCCTGATCTACTTTTTGGTGCTATGAATTTGCCTATGCTGGGCATTTCATGTAATGAATTTTATAATAGATAGTCTTTTGTATCTGGCTTCAAAAACATCAGGTTCATCCACACTCTAGCATGCTTTGGTTCTTTGTTCTTTTTCATGACTGAGTAATATTCCATTGCATGGATGCATCACATGTTGTTTATTCTTTCGCTGGGGGACATTTGTTCCCACCATAGTGCCGCTGTGGACGTGTATATACAAGTATTTGTGAGATTACCTGCTTCCTCCATTCATTTTTGCCTTGTATTACTACACCACACCAGTCATCACTGTATTTTTTCAAGCCAGAAATCTTGCACTTGGTCTGTGTGTACGTTTAGGGGGAAAGTGTATTCAGGGAAATCCTTTGTCCAATGCTGCCTCTGCTACACACCTATCCCTCTCCAAGCCCCCTAACTCTCTAGCCCCAGGCCACCTATTTGGTAAGTAATCCCCTTTTGCCTTCACGTAATTAACGTGTGGTATGCATGCCCTATCTCTGCAGTGAGGGCCTTCAGATCCAGGTCCACTTGGGCTTCTGTGTCCCCCACCGTGCCCTGCATATGCACTTCAAACCTGAGCACTTCCAACCAGTTCTAGACCCGTGCCTGCTCTGTGCCACCTGTCTGCTGGTGACTGACCCTCCCCCACTCTCCCGTTTCCCTCTGCAGACGATGTGCTGACTAAAGACGCAGGCGAGTGTGTGATCTGCCTGGAGGAGCTGCTTCAGGGAGACACGATAGCCAGGCTGCCCTGCCTGTGCATTTACCACAAAAGGTACGAGCGGGGGCAGGGCCAGCTCAGCCACATCCCAGACCCCACAACGGAGAGAGAAGGCAGCCCTCCTCACTAGCCATTCTGTTTTCTTCGGTCGAGGGACGGCTCTTCCCCCTCCACACGCCCCACTCCCGGGATGTGAGTGGGGCTGAGACAGAGGCTGGCAGATGTGCTGAGTATAGGGCTGAGGGGAATGACCAGAGACTTTGCTCTGGGCTGACGGCCTGGCCGGCTGCAGGGTGATGGGGAGACCTGTGGAGCTCCACAGGCCTCAGGTGCTTAGGATCCCACAGAGCCAACGCTCTCTTCCTTTGGAAATTTGGCTCTTTACCCGTCTCCCCAGGCTTTTCTTCCTCTGTGGGAGAGAGACGGTGGAGGGGTGTGCTTGCTGCCCCCGCACTCACCCCTGCTCCCCGGGACAGGAGGCAGGAATAGCCATGCGCTGGGGGCCAGGCACCGAAGTTGCTATAATTAGCAGGGCCGAGATTTGTCCTCAGGCTCCAGCAGGAGCCTCATTCTTGTTTCCAACTGGAAAGAAGACACCTCCCTCCCCAAGACGGAGGACGCTCTGTGCTGCCTGTGGCTGCCACCTGCTCTTGGCTCCTCGAGCCTCAGAGCTTCTTCCTGACACATGGGCTTTTCCAAAGCCTGACTCACGGGGCCACTGGCCACAGGGCAATGGTGGTGCCGGCGCGCAGATGTGGCCGACGCAGGGGAGCCTGAGGTTGGCCTGGAGGAGAGGGTCTCGGTCCAGGGCCAGCCCGGAGTGCCACAGCTTCCTGGCCAGGTCCCAACCAGAACCGGACAAGGAAATCTTTGGCTCTGGGGGAAATTATGCAAATTACCTGTCTGGATCCTGTCTTCAAACATACCCAGATGTTGGTTTACAAATCAGAAGGCTGTCTTGGGGCGATCTCTGTTCCCTCTTTGATTCAGGCAGTTCTTTCTGTAAACACTGGAGACCATGGTTTCACAGTCAGGCTCCTGCCCGGCCCTCCTTAGCAGTGTCACTGAACCAGAGGGCCATCCTTCTCTGGGATGTTGGCTGCTGACCACAGCCAACTGAACCAGGCAGCTGGGGGGTCTCCTAAGAAGCCACCCCCTAGAGAGGGAGCCTTAAGGCTGCTCCTTGGACTCGGGAGAGGGCTCCCTCCGGCCCCCAGAGCTCAGAGTAATGGCCAGCCTTCGAGCCTTAGGGATAGCTGGCTCGCTACCCTGCACTCCGCCCCTACTCACTAGTAGCTGTTGCCACCGCCTGGGCCCATGCAGGTAAGGCCTTGACCCTTATCAAGGCCACAGCCCGCCCTTCTAGCATCCAGACATACCCCATCCTGTGCCCACCATACCAGGTTGGCTGCCCGGGCTGAGCCAAGGTCAGTCTTGGTGTTCTGCCTTCTTCCTGCTTCAGAAAGTGGGTATCTGGGGACACGCTTGTTTTCTCCTGGGGTCCTCGCAGGCGAGATTTAGGAAACCCCTACTCAGAAATCTGACCCTCGGAGCGAGCCCCCTAAGGCGCAGCCTGGTCAGCGGTAACGTGTCTCCCCTTGCCGCTCCCTGCCTCAGCTGCATAGACTCGTGGTTTGAAGTGAACAGATCTTGTCCAGAACACCCTGCGGACTGACCCTGCTGGGCTCGCTTGCTGACTCCTCTCAAAGGTGAGCCGGTGGTTGGGGTGCTCTGGGCCCAGGGATTGGGATCTGGGGCCTGGGGCTGGGGACTGAGTTGCCCTTACATACCTCCAGGAGGGGAGCATCTTATCAGTTAGTAGTTCTATGGTGCATTGGAGCGGGGGGAGAGGAGGGGAGAATTCTGGGAAGGCTAAGAGATGCTATCTTGCATGGTAATGGAAACACACACACACACCTGCTCAGTGCAGTTGATTCTTTGAGGAAAGACCAGTCTATTCCAGATGTCTAGGGCGAATCTCCCTGAAGAAGGTCCAGGAAGAGCCCCTTGGAATGTGCCAGGTGGGAAAAGCCGTATGAGCTTGGGCCCCTGGGCTTGCACCTGCCTGTGCTTGCTGAGCGGCTAGGGCAAGTCCTCGTTCCCCGTCCCCCTGCGGACAGTTGTGGGACGGTGCGTTGTTCCCTGTGGTACTCATCAGCGATCGTTCCACAGCCGGTGCTTCCCGGTGCCACCTCCCTCACATACACTGCCAGGCGGATCTGAGACCTCCAGGCCAGACTCAACCCAACCTCCCAGCCCACACACAGCACACGTCCTGGTTCCACAGCAGCCCCGCCAGCTACCTTCCCACAGTGTGCACACACGTCCCCTGTAGAACCTTCTGGTCTGACCTCCCCCGTTCTCCCCCAGGCACCCTGCTTCACTGCTGACCACCCTCTCCTGTCCCCTCCAAATCCTGGGCTGGTACTTTATTTTACCTGGGAAACAGACAAAACCCCCAGGAAACCAAAACCCTGACTCCACCTCCTCTCACATACATAAGTTTTGGGGCCTCTCTCTCTCTTCTCTTGTTTTTTTTTTGTTTTTGTTTTTTGTTTTGTTTTCTTTTGTGTTAGGTTTGTTTTATTTATTCCAAGTAAACTTCCAGAACAGCTGATGATGGCAGACAAATCAGGGACATTTGCTCTTTTTACCTTCACCTGAAATACTGAGGACATGGGGAGAAGAAACAGTGAGGGTGAGAGTGAGGCAGAGGGCGTGGAGCCTGGCGCTGGAGTGCCGAGTCCAAATTCCCGGCATGATATTTGCCTTCTCGGGCCGCGGACTGGAACCACAGGCGCCCAGCCCGTCCTCAGCCGGACACACAGGCTGGCTTCAGCCCGGCGGGAGCACAACTCATGTATTGTGGTCCCCACAGGGACAGCCAGCCCCGCTCCCGCGAGGAGGCTTCGGACACTGGGGCAGAGCTGAGCTGGGGACACCCGTGGGAACAGGGCGCCCCTGCGCACTGACTTCAGAGAATGGTTCTGCCTTTCTCCCCGAGGACACCAAATTCGATGAGTCATGAGTTTGAGAGAAGAAAGAATCAACCGCCCTCCTTCCCCTCAATCCTCATCCTAGGAGGGAAAGGGCATTTTCTTTCTCACCTTTGAAAGGCATTGTGGGTCTGTCTCTATAACGTGTTTACAAAAAAAAAAAAAAAAAAAAATCATAAAAAAAAAGTCTAGTGTCGACTGGTGTTTTCGCCCGTGATGTTTACAGATTGCTGTCTGCTGCCCGGCTAGAACCCACCCAATGGCAAAGGGACAGAGCCAGGCTCAGTGCTGATGGGGCGAGAGACGCTCGCTCGTTCCTCCTGGCCCAGCGCCCCGTCCGTTTGGCCCTCGCCATCAACAACCGCTCGGCCTTGGTTTTCTTTGCCCGTTTTCCTGGCTTGATTTTTGCACTTTTCTCCCCTCGGGACCCTGAGATCTTGACTTCATTGCCAAAAAAACAACCCACGGAAGACCTCCCCCTTCATCCCTGACTCTCCTCCCTCCTCCCCTCCCAGTTCTGGTCAGTTCAGAGGACTTCACAATCACAAGTGTCCTGCAAAAATGCCTGAACATTTTCCTTAGGCCCTTGTGGATTTTTCCCCCTGAAAACTTAAACCAACAGAAGACTTATTAAAGGACATGTACAGCTACCCGTTTTCAGGCACTCGGTTTGAGAACATTTTAGCCATCGATGTTCACACGTGGCATCAGCTCACGCAAGATAGGTTTCTGTATTTATATATTCAGATACAAAGAAAACACCACCCTTATAAAATGTTTTAAAAAAAATGTTCGAAGTTGGGGGCAAAGCTTTCTTCATTAGTCAAGATGTTTTGATATATGGTATTAAAATCATGTCTAATAAAAGATGCATTGTGTGACTTTATTTTAATGGTGCTGTTACACAATCCAGAAATGGGCGTTGTACACCTGTCTCCCACTTCCTCCCCCCTCACCTCATTCGCCTTCCTTCAGGGTAATACTTGGTACTGTACTTGTGATGGGGTTTTCAGAGCACCCGTGCCTGGGTAGAGGGAACGTGGCATTCAGACCCCAGTCCCAGAGGTTCACTAGCCCTTCAAGCATCATGGAGTCAACCCGCCATCACCTGTGGAACCGTTGTGACAAAACACTTCTGCAAGATCTGCAGGGGCGATGATCTCGCAGCCACTGGAGGCTGCAAGGATGTGCGTCCTTCCAGCGCCCGGCCCCCTGCCCCCCCTTCTTCCTCTGTTCCCCATCACACGTGCTGCCTGCCTGTTGCCCAGTCCATGCTCAGTGCTGACTCATGGGCATGCTTCATTGAGGCCCAGAGACAGGCCCTGTTATGGGGCTGAGCCAGCCCCAAGCCACTCGGGGCCCACAAGAGTTGGCACAACTTGGGCTGGGCAGGATGCTCCGGGCAGTGGATAGCACTGCACAGCTGGCCTCTCTGCCTGTGCTGGACAGGCTGCCAGAGCAGCATCCCAGGGCCCCCTGCGGAGCCTGCGAAGGACTGCTCTGGAGGAGTCCGCTCCAGCCTCTGCCCCTCTCCGTGCTCTGTTGCCTCTACCCCCACCAGGCCCTGGCTCTGCAGCCGTCTTCCACCAGACGCTTCCTGAAGCACCTGCTCTGCGAGGGCATTGCAGGCCCGCGAGCTAAGGGACAGGCACGCTCGGCGTGTTCAGAAAAATACGAAAGAAGAGTATGTGTCTGAGCTGGGCCTTGGAGTCAGACCCTCCAGAAGCGGGGACCCCCTGGGCCAGTGATCACCATGGTGGCCAGGATGTGGGCTCAGAACTGTCTGCATGTGGCTCCTCTACTTGGCAGAATGATCTTGGGGAAAATGACTTTGCTCACCTAAACTTCAGATTCCTCGCATGTGAAAGGACAAGGTCGTGCGAGAGTCTGCCCAGAAGCCCCTGGCACGTGCATCGCGGGCTCTCTCAGCTACGTCACCACAGAGCATTGTTCTATTCACAGCACCGCCTGCTTCTGCCTGGCAACTGTGTCTCCCTGTTCTATATTTAATTCCTCCAGCAAAGCTCGCCCTGAAGGAGATCTCCTTGCCTGACCCCTGGGCTGCAGGCAGAGGGCTATGTGCCCACCTCCGTTGCGTAGGCCTGGCGGCTTTGGCAACATCCTGTGAGCCAGGTGGGGCAGGGCCAGGGCCCACACCAGGTGCTATTCCAGGCTCCTGGGGCTGATGCTAACTCCCCTCCTCACCTCCCAACGACGTGCCCCCCACCCCCACCTGACACACTGCAGCCCTCTGCTGACAACTAGGTCCTCCGAATCCAGACCTAGTTCCTGGGTGCCAGCTCCTGGGTGGGGGTGGGCCAGGGTGTGTGGGCTTCCCAGGTGGAACTAATGTCTGTCATCGTCCCTCCTGACAGCTCTCAGAGGGGAGAGGAGGGCAGGAGCTGGGGGGAGGGGGGGGGGGTTTCCACCCACTGTCTTTGGGGCCTTCCTGGTCAGGAGCATCTCACTAGTACAAAAATCATCTAGTAGCATTTAATGTTGTTGAGGTTTATAGGAGAATGTCCTTATTCTTTACGAGACAGATGGTGAATTATGTAGGCAAATGATGTCAAGAAATATGTAAATTTCAAACGGGTTTCTCCAAAATACACCCAACAAATGAGACAAAAATATCCCTTGTTGAATCTTCAGTGGCTGGTATGTCAGTGAACAGTGTACTTGTTCTTTCAACTCTTCTGTATGTTTGGAATTTTTCCTAATAAAAAAAAAACTATGGGGAAATAGCCATTTGTTGAGCATCTACTAGTTGCCAGGCAGTGGGAGGCTTATCAGAGAAGAGCCCTGTCCTGTAGGAGGGAAATCTGGAAGGTGGGGTCTAGGAGCTGTGTCTCCGTGGAGTATATGAGGCCAACCTGTATGGGTGGTTTGGGAGGGACTAACGAGACCTGCCCCACACCACCCCTTGGCACAGCTACTGCTCCCATCTAGGGCAGCGGGTGGGGGTTGGGGGGGCGGGGAGAGAACAAGTCACAGGGGAGCAAACTCCAGGATCAGCCCAGTGTTAGTTACCATGGAGGAAGGGTTCCTGGAACAAGTAGACTAACGCATCACAGCGGGCTGCCTCTGCCCAGGGCCTGAACATTGGATGGCAAGAGGTAAGGGGGTGGAGGATGGAGGCAGGGAAGGAACTCGGCTTGGAGAGAGCCTGTTTCCTTAGGCGCCAGGGGATGAGGGAGTTGGGCCCACAGCTATATGCTCCTGGGACCTGCAGCGGGGGGAGTTTAGAGATTGGCTTCCAGGACTGCGTCCTGCCCCCTCCCTGAGGGCTGAGAGCTATAGGCCCTGACGGGTAAGCTGGGCCCCAGCAGTGGCTGGGGTGTCGGAAGTTTATGGTGGCAGGCGCCCTCAAGTGGGCTTACGGGGAACAACGGTCAGGTAGCCCAGACAGAAGCTCTGGCCGGGGATCCCCGGGCACAGCACACCTGGTCGACAGATTCTGACGTGGAGGGCAAAAGAGCTGGGAATTTTAATAAGTCACACTCTGGAGAGGTGTGGTACAAGGAGAGTCACCTCACTTCCATTCCCAGTGATTCGTAGCTGCTGCTTAAAGGACACGCACAGAATGTTCTAAGGCCCAGTTGGCACTCGGGGGCGGAGTCTGTCGGAAGTGATGTTGACCATGGGCAAGTCCTCAGGTTCTGGGGTTCCTGAAGGTGACCTCCCCTGTAGCCTGTGCACCATCCCCTCCCCAGGCTGCAGTAAGTCAGAGGACAGGTCTGGAACGAGGGGCGGGGGTGTCACTGTCTCAATCACCTGGGGGGGAGGGGCTGCGCAGGAAGTCATCACAGGTTCTGCCCACTCACCTCCAGGCAGCCACAAACGGGGTTCATGTCTATTAGAACTGAGGGTGCTGAGTTCCTCAGACTTTGTCCCCGGATCCCAGCAAGGGGGAGGCCTTGGGGAGGGCAGTCAGCTCAGCCTTTGGGACAGGACTGGCTGTATAAGAGAGAAGCAGCAGCTTCACTGGCTTACAGTTACTGAACCAAAGGCTCCTGGGACAGCAAGAGGGCCAGGGAGGGGCCAGGCCTTCAGGCTTCTCTCTCCTCTTCTGGCCTTGAGTTCCAGATAAGAGGCAAAGGCAGAGCTGTTCTGTGGCTTGAAGAACCCAGACTGGAAGTTCCACTGTCTGGGGTTTGTGTGCCAAGTGCTCGGAGCCCCTCATAGCACCTTGCCCGGGTTCATGAGGCCTCGGGGATCCAGCATGGCCTTGAGCTGCCGCATGGTCTCTATGCCCACGGCTCCCACCTCCTCCTGCAGCAGCTGCCGTTTGCCCAGCCCAATGCCGTGTTCCCCTGTGCATGTACCGTGGAGTGCCAGCGCCCGCCTGCGAAGCGGTGAAGAGACCATCAGTGGGGGGCTCCCCCCACTCCCCTCGGCCTCTCCCTCCTCCCTGGCCCGGACTTTGCTACCTTCCCAGCTGGCATGCAAAGGCCTCAAGCCTGCCGAGCTCCTCGGTGTCCTCCGGGTCTACCAGCAGGATGCAGTGGAAGTTGCCGTCGCCCACGTGTCCAACAATGGTTCCTGGGGGCCCAGAGGACCGAGCTGCTGCTCCCAGCCCAGCCTCCCGCCCTCCCCCCTCACTCCAGCAGTGGGCAGGCAGCACCTGTGAGCCCAGAGGCCTTCAGGTCCTCCTTGGTCTGCACCAGGATCTCCGGCAGCCGGGAGATGGGCACACAGACGTCAGTGGCATAGCCCTGGGGCGGGGGCAGGCCTGTGAGATTCTCCCCTCACCCCCTGCCTGCCCAGAGGGAAGGGGTCACAGTAGTCAAGGTCTAGGGGGCTCTCGAGGACTCAATTTCCCCTGTACAAGATGATGGCTGGGACATGTCCTCCAGACACTGCCAGCCAAGGCTTCCACAGCTCTCTCCTTACTCCCCACCCTTGCTGTGTCCCTCCCCACCCCTCTTCCCTGTGTGCCCACGGCCTGGCTCAATGCAGAGGCCCCTCCTAAGGCTTGGGCAGACGACTCTGCTTTCCCTCTACCGGCTGAGTGGGGGCAGTTCTGCCTGCTGTGGGCTTAGCCTGCTGCTCCGGACACCAGGGCAGTGGGCTGAGGAAAGGGTGCGTGGGTCCCACTCCCCCTCGGCCCGGCTCACCTTGCAGCCCGGCCGCAGGGCCAGGGCGGCGTACCAGGCGTTGTGCCGGGCGGCCCAGAGCTGGCTGCGCTCCTCCGCCTCCTTGGCCCAGGAGAAGTGGAAGGCGCCGTTGGCCTGGGTGATCTCCTCTGCAGGGGACGGGCGGGGGGTGGGGGGGGAGGATTGACTCCAGGCCCTACGCCGCCCGGCAGCCCCTGCCCCTGCCCCCCAGCACCCCGGCGCACCTGTCCGCTGCACCTGCTCCACCAGGGCCTGCTGGGAGCCGTGGAACTCGAGGAACAGCGTGGGTGCCACGGAGCAGTCCAGTTTGCTGTACCTGATGCAGGCGTCCATCATGACCTCATCCAGGAACTCTGGGACCGAGGAGAGGGCAGGTGACGCGAGGGCCGGCCTTCAAAGGGGGCCTCTCCCGGGAGCCCGCCCGGACCGCCCCGCTCCCGGCTCACCGATGCGGGCCACGGGCACCGCGGCCTGGAGGATGTGCACGGTGCTGTCCACGGCCGCCTGGACGCTGGGGAACGCGCAGGTGGCGGCCACCGTGGCCTCGGGGGCGGGGTGCAGGCGCAGGGTGGCGGCTGTGATGAGGCCCAGGGTTCCCTCCGAGCCCACAAAGAGCCCGGTGAGGTTGTAGCCCGCTGCGCTCTTCCTGGACCCCGGGGACACGCAGGTAGGTGAGTGCCCAGGCCAGAAGTGGGGGCACTAGTCCTCAGGCCCCTGTCAGGGGTGGTACTGAGCCCAAGGTTGGGGTTGCCCTCTCGGCTCAGACTGCCATCAAAGCCTACGTTCCCTGGCCCAGGCTAGGTGGGCCTTAAGCAAGAACAAGCCCCAGTGCCATCCGCTTTGTCCCAGTGACAGTTTCAGAAGCCGGGCGCCGCCTAGGGGAGGACGATGCTCACCGGTAATGCCGGCCCCGGCCCGCGGTGTGCAGCAGCTGCCCGCCAGGCAGCACCACCTCCAGGTTCAGCACGTTGTCCCGGATGGTGCCGTAGCGCACGGCGTTGGTGCCCGAGGCCCCTGTGGCCGCCATGCCACAGAGGGAAGCATCTGCACCGGGGTCTGGAGAGGACAGGCAGGAGGCAGCCTGGAGCAGACGCCCAGGGGCTGGCGGGGGAGGGGGGGAGGGACCCTGCAAGCCCCTCCAAAGAGCCCTGCCTCCAGGGAGCCCGCAGGGCCGCAGCCTACCTACAGGAAACCAGAGGCCAGTGCCCCGCAGGTGGGTGTTGAGTGCTTTGCGGGTGACGCCGGGCTCCACCACCACAGAGAAGTCCTCTGGGTTCAGCGCCAGGATGCGGTCCATGTGGGTCAGATTGAAGCAGACGCCACCCTGGCAGAAGGGGTTGTCAGGGGTTGGTTGACCTAGTTTTTCTGCCAGCCCCAGGCCCCAGGCCCTCCCAGCCTGAAGCTGACCCTCCCAGCAGCCAGGCCAGGTCCTCAGATGGCAAGGAAGGAGGATTGGACCTGAGCCACCAAGCTGAGTGTGTGTGTGTGTGTGTGTGTGTGTGTGTGAGGCACGAAAGTAACAAGTGTGATGGGTCCAGGGCGCGGCCACCGTACCTGCACGGCACAGACTCCGCCCTCCAGCCCAGTGCCCGTGCCGAAGGGGATGATGGGGACGCCGTGGCCGTAGCACAGGGCTGCCAGCCGGCTGACTTGCTCCACGTTCTGGGGCCACACCACGGCGTCCGGAGGTTGGCACCTAGAACCAGACCCTCAGCAGTTTAGGGGGGGGCACGAGACTCCCTGGTCCCGCTCAGGATCCCCAAGGTAGTGTAAGACCTGGGGCTGCGCATGGGACCGGGGTATGGAGGACAGAATGCCAGAGTACCCCCAAGGCAAATGCGCGGGGAAGAAGCCAGCCCAGCACCCTCACTCTCTGGCGGGGGAGGGGACCCCCACACCTGTGCATGGACTCATCGTGCCCGTGTTGTTGTAGGACCGCAGCGGCCGTAGACACGTGGGGGCTCCCCACCACTGCCCTCAGAGCCTGCACAAAGTCCTCGCCGAGTTTGCCCTGCGGGGAAGAGACACTTGGGGCCACGGGCCTGCCCCTGTGGGAGGTGGGGGTGGGGGGGCTGAAGTGGGAGAGGGGCTGCCTGGCCCCCTGGCACTGCCTCCGAGGCCCACCAGAAGCAGATCCACTCTGCAGGCCTGGAGTGCCCCTTTCCAAACAGAACCACGGGGCTCAGTGTTTCACTTCAGAAAAACTGCCACCGGACGAGAAGAATGGGATTCACTCTACAAAGCGGGTCATCAGCAGGGTTCCATAACGTAGCCAGTCCTGCCTCAGGGCCTGGGAAAGGTTACTCTCTCCGTTCTCTAAGGCCAGCCAGGCGCTGCTCTACACCAGGGACAGAAGGAGGAAAAAGCCCCATTGCCCACCGACTGCAGTGCCCCAGCCCCGTCGGCTCTGCCTCGGGACTTGTAGGGCTCTTAGGGCCTTTCCGGCCTTTCTTCCCATTTTACAGATGGACAGTCAAGGCCAGCGAGTCAAAGGCAGAGCCTAGCCTAGAACCCAAGTCCTTGCCTCCCAGACCCTCTTTCAAAAGGTGTGTATTAGCCAAAACCGGTTTGGCTCAGTGGATAGAGCGTCAGTCTGCGGACTGAAGGGTCCCAGGTTCGATTCCGGTCAGGGGCATGTGGGTGGCACATCCCAGCAAGGGGTGTGCAAGAGGCAGCTGATGGATGTTTCTCTCTCATCGGTGTTTCTAGCTCTCTATCCCTCTCTCTTCTCTGTGAAAAATCAATTTAAAAAAAAAAAAAAGGTGTGTATATATCTGGGTGCCCCAATGGGACACCCTGCAGCCCACAAGCCTTTCATTTGGCATTCTCTCCCTTAGACAGCCTGGGAGCCTTGGCCAACTCACTCAGCACCCATGCTTGACACCCGGTGAGCCCATCGATCCTCCGTTCAAGGTCACGTGGTGCTGGGGCAGCACAAAGCCTGGTGGGACGTGGCATGTGGGGGGAGCCCACCCTCCAGGGAGCCTTCCCTGCCTACCTGCTTTATCCTGGAGCAGTAGCCCCTCCAGGGGAAGTGCCCCCAGGTGGCTGTGGCCCGCAGCAGACTGGCCATAGCTGGGCAGTGGCGAAAGGGGTATGGACACTTAAGCTGGGAGCTGCACCAGCCCATTGGCTGTGCTCGGGGTGGAGCCTACTTAAGGTGGCACTCCTTAAGGTGGCGCTGCCAGACCTCGCTGAGTCAGGTGTGTCTTCCAGGATCTGCACTTGTAAAGGAGAGGCTCGCCTTAACACAAACGGAAACAGAAGAGCAGGGCTTCCCATGGTTCTTCAAACAAAGCCAGGCTCCTTGCCACGGTCTTCAAGGTCCTGCCAGTTCTCACTCACCTCTCCATTGACCCCACTTCCTTCCAATCTCCTCTTTGGCCTCTGAGCTTCAGCTTCACGTTCCCTTCCTGCCTACTCCCAGCTCCAGCCAGGCTCAGGGCCTTGACCACAGCCTTGTCTTTCTGACCCTCAAGGCTCCACTGTGTTGTCACAGAGTAGGTGAAATGAGGGGTGTGAGGAGGAAAAGTGCAAGGGATGACATGGAGTATGGTGATGAGGCAATCCAGGAAGCCTTCCTGGAAGAGGGGAGCTAAGGATAAACAGCAGTTCACCAGGTAAGTGAAGACTGTTGAATCCCTTTCATCTCCTCCCTCCCACGGGGCAGATCCCACTCTTGGCGAGTGATGTGGCTTCTGCTTTTGAAAGTATTTCAAGCTCAGTTTTCCTCCCACAGCAAATTTGATGGAGCATGTAGCTAACATTATGGTGATACATCTATTCCTTGTGTTTTCCTTCCCAATCGAATCAGGAATTCAAAACATCTACTTCGGTCCTTCTCCCCAACCACCCTTGAATAAATTCACCTTTCCACTCTCGATGTGTGGCTTGTCTCAAAAAACTCCTCCTTCATAGTTGGCTAGTCCAAATCACGGTTCAGTGGAAGTCCACTAACTGTATTTGGTTAATGTGTCTCATAAATCTCTTACAATCAGCAGCAGTTTCACTCTCCCCGCCTTTTTCCATGCCATTTATTTGTTAAGGAAACTGGATCCCCTGTTCTGTAGGATTTTCCACATTCTGTTTTTAGGTGGTCGCATCTTTGTGGCATTGATTCATGTATTTCTCTAATCTTATAAACTGTTAGATCTAGATGTGGTGCTGCCCAATACAATTTTCTGTGCTGATGGGACTCTACATCTGTGCTTCCCAGTATGATAGCTATTAGCCACATGTAGCTATTGGTATTAGTGCTGTCTATGGTTGGGGAAGAGAGGCCAGCTAGAGAGTGTGGCAAACCCTAAAAGAACCACCATGTGGATCCCTAGGGTCTGGAGCAGGGCCATGACATCTGCAACAAAGAGCCCTGGCCCACTGCTCCGTCCTCCGTCCTGGGTAAGATGGTGAATGGGACCCCAAGACATCAGTTGATCATGCAGGTCCAAAACAACCCATTATAGAGGCAACAGAAACAAACAAAATGAGGCACAGGCAGGGCCCGAGGGCAAAGTAAGCTGCACAAGTAGGCGGCCCAGTCCCCCCAAGACACCCATCATTGCCTGGCCAACTCTTCTTCCTCGGCTCATACCTATGGCCGCATGGGGGAACGTTCATGACCAGCTGATAGAGGAAGGGAAATTTCTCTCTTGATTCATGAGTGGGTTGGCTCAATATGAGGATGTAAGCTGAAAATGGACTGATGCTGCTGTACAGCCCCGCTTAGGGGTAACCCTGAAATCCTCCCGAATGGCAGACCTCCAGGCCCTGTATCTGGTCATCCTCTTTTGTAGAAAGAAAACTGGCTCACCAGAAGAATGTATATGGCCCCATGGACACCGGTGAATGGCTTGGCTGGTCGGCCAGAGCCTATGAGGGGAAAGATTAGAAAATTAGGGTCAAGGAGGTTGGGGAAGAGGCATGTAGTTGGAGCAAAAGGTGTAGGTACAAAGTGAGATCTTTATATCTCATGTATCACATGCCAGTGCCCAGCAGAGAACATCTACCATGCAGGAGACTAAATGAAGTGGGAAGCAAGATTCAGCCAGTTGGCATCGGCCAAGCTCTCTCAATAACCACCCCAGTGCTGGCATAATGGTGGTAGGGATACGGGCTAATAATGGGCCCACCCACATGGGCACCCACTCACTAAGACTGCTCTAGCTACCGCTATGCTGTGGGTCTCCCCTACTGCCACACCGAATCCCCCACATGGTGCCATTCCTCAGGGAGACCTGCCAGTCAGGGCCTCTGGCAACAAGGTGCTTACATTCCCCTCGGGCTTCTCTTGGCTGAAACCCACACAACACACACGGGCAAGCTCTGCCTCTCCTGCCTACGGGGCCTCAGCTCGCCCATCTGTCTGAAGGCTCACTGTGTTTGATTCATCATGGGGTATAGTAATAACATCGCCTCAGGCCAGGTGACTCGCTTTTTAACAAAGGAGGTGTAATAGTGGGACTCATTACTGACCATGGGATTCGCCGATCCTAAAGTCTCCCTCACCATTCAGAGCCACTCGCCTCTCAGAGCAATAGAAGGAATGGCCTTTGCAAGGTGCAGCAAAGGCACCAGCTTAGAGATGCATCCAGTCAACCACAGAGCCAGAAGAGGACTTTTTTATATGGGTAACAGATAAAGGGTGAGTACCATATTATTTGTAAGTTTCTATTTCGAAATGATTTTACACTTACAGAAAAATTGCAAAAATAGTAGAGAGGAGTTCTATATACTCTTCACTTAGTTTCCTCGCTAATGTTGATGTCGTAGATAACCATAGCGTAAATATCAAAACTAAGGACTGGGAAGGCCCTGGCCACCAGGTAGCTTAGTTGTTAGGAACATTGTCTCAATACACCAAGGTTGTGGGTTCAATCCCTGGTCAGGGCACATACAAGAGTCAACCGATGAAGCAATAAAGTAGAACAACAAATGTCTCTCTTTCAAAATCAATAATATTTTTTAAAAAGAGTTTTAAGCCAAAACCGCTTTGGCTCAGTGGATAGAGCGTCGGCCTGTGGACTGAGGGGTCCCAGGTTCGATTCCGGTCACGAGCACACCTTGGTTGCCGGCACATCCCCATTGGGGGGTGTGTAGCAGGCAGCTGATTGATGTCTCTCTCTCATCGATGTTCTGACTCTCTGTCCTTCTCCTTTCCTCTCTGTAAAAAATCAATAAAATATATATATTTTTTAAAAGTTTTAAAAAAAAGAACTGGTAAAAAAAAAATAATTGGTACAGTTAGGGAATTGGTACAATACTAAACTACAAATTGTATTTCACTTATTTTTCCACTGACATCCTCCTTTTTAGGGGTATTTGCTTTGTCCAGGATCTAGTCCAACACCTCACACTGCGTTTAGTTGTCTCTCCAGCAGTTTGCAACCGTTCCTCAGGCTTTCCTTTGTCTCTCTGACCTTGACATTTTCTTTTTTGTTGATCTCCACCTGAGAATATTTTTTTTCCGGTGATTTTTAGAGAGAGTAGAAGCAAAGGGGGGGATACACACACACACAGAGAGAAACAATGATGTAAGAGAGACACACTGATTGGTTACCTCCTGCACATGCCCCGACCAGGCCCAGGTATGGAGACTACAACCGAGGTACGTGCTCTTGACCGGAATTGAATCTGTGACAGGCCGATGCTCTAACCACTGAGAAAATTAGCGAGGGCCTGACCTTGACATCTTCAGTTCCTTTATAGAACGTTCCTTTATAGAACGTTCCTCAGTTTGGGTTGTCCCATGTTTTCCTCAAGAGATTGTGGCCTTTGGTAAGAATACCAAAGAACTGATGCCTCCTTCTCAGTGCATCGTATCGGTAGGATAAGAGTGGATGTGTCTTTAACCTTGACCACTTAGTTTAAGTGATATTTGTGGGGATTCTGCACTGTCCGGTTACTGTTTTCCTCTTTGGATTTAATAAATTTATTGGGGGAGGTTCTTTAAGATGGTGTCCAAAGCCAGTCACCAGGCCAGCCTCAACCGAAGAGATGGGGAAAGAGATGGCACCTTCTGTTAAGAAAACCTGCAAAGTCACGTTGCAGAGGGCGTGGAGGCAGGCGGGCCCTTCCGTGGGGCCACTTCGTTTTCGTAATCAACTCCAAATCCCACCGATACCGAGTACTTCTGATACAGGAATAAGTTCCCTCCGTGCTGTTCGGCAAAGGCGGCCCAACAGTTGTACACAAAGAAATGATTGTGTATAAGGGAGGAGGAGATCATTATTTCCTCCATGTTCTTCATCAGGATGACTTTTCTAGAAAAACAAAACACAAAACCAGTTTCTCATGGCATAAAAAAAAAACACAAAAAAACAAACAAAAAAAAAACACCGTAGCTCATTATGCAGTAAAAGGGTTGACTAAGCAGGCCTGGACTATCTAAACCCTGTACCTTGTGAAGAAAGGATCAGCTGTTGCCAAGCTCTTGGGAGGTATCTCTAAGCTCTGGCGGTATCCTGCCTGATAAGAGTGTCTTTCTTTACCCGGAGGCCTTTGGCCAGCCAGACAGTCTGTGCTAACAGTGTGATTTATCCTGGGCGCCTTGGGCCACATGGCATATCAGCTTGACCTCTGCTGGGTCTGGAAACGAAGATCCGCTGTAGAGGCAGCCAGACACACCGGTGTGACCAAACCCTAATAAAACCCCTGGACACCAAGGCTCTGGTGAGCATCTGGTTAGCAACACTTCCTATGCATAGTCACATGTAATCGAAGGGAGAGCTAAGTGCAGCCTGCACGACTCCACTGAGAGAGGACAACTGAAATCTTGTTCTGGTGCCTCCGGGACCCTGACTTTTGTGCCTTTTTCCTCTGTGATTTTAGTCTGTATCGTTTCACTGCAGGCAACTGTAACCAGGAGCATTAACTGCTTGCTGAACTCTCCGAGTCCTTCTAGACTTGCAGGGGTAAGTAACGTCTCATGAGCTTGCGACATCATTTGGTCTGGCCCTGCCAAGGCATGAGGGTTGAGTTAATTAAATGTTTGATCAAACATAGCAGGCTAATTTTTAACCTGATAATTTTGTATGGCCCGTGAATAAAGTTACAAATATCCAAATGGCCCTAGGCAGACAAAAAGGTTCCCATAGGGATACCTGGACACAGTCACATTATCATTTTGAAACCATAAATAGATTATCTTTGTCTAAAACTTGTTTTTATTTTATTTCATGTTTTTGTTGATCTTTAGAGAGAGAGGAAATGAGGATAGAGAGAGAGGAACATCCATGAGAAACATCCATCAGCTGCCTCCTGCATGGCCCCTACTGGGGATCAAGCCCATTACCCAGGCATGTGTCCTGATTGGCAACCAAACTAGTGACCTCTCGGTTCAGGGTTTGAGGCTGAACCACTGAGCCACCCTGGCTGGGCAGAATTAAAACTTGTTGACTTCTCCAGGCTTTAGTTCTTTCCATTTGTAAACAGGTATTTGGACTAACAGATCCCTGATTCTTTTTGTCTCTGGGTCTGCACATAAAATGTGGGAAGCTCTGGTTCAACTGCTTCATTTTCTAATAGTACTTCGCCTGATAATAGTTATGTCTGTCCTGACCTACGAGAAGCTACCTATAAATCCCCTATAAAAACAATACTTACAATACTAGAACTTATTCAGAATGGCGACGCCTCTTTTCCTTCTCGATGTGAACAAATAGGATAATCTTTAGGTGTTCCTCCACAAGGAGGGGACAGGGCAAGGAACTCGCTGGAGTTCTTTGCATCCCTAAGACCTGGCCAGCAGGAGAGAGGGACTGAAGGGGCAGCTACCTACTCTGGCACTCTGCAGGGGCCACACCTGTTTCACTCACCTGGGCAGCACTGAAGAATGGAGTGATGCTGGTACTGCCCATTCCAGCAGGATGCAGGATGGATGCATGGGCAGCACTTGTTATCCTCAGGTGGACGGGACCACAGGATTGGGTGATACTGGTAGTAGCTGGATTTCAAGCATCATCAGGTCATTCATCCGTTTATCTATGCCAAGCACGGTGCTGGGAAGGCAGAGATAAATGAGGATGACAGTCCTCGTATGCCCAGAGGCTCCTTTGTAAGTCATTGGCCGTGTAAGAATCCTTCATTCATCAAGAAGAAAGATGGACTTGTCAAATGCTCAGTAAAATAACTGGATTTTGCAAGTTTAGGTTGCTTCATTCCCAAGTTAACTTACGTTAAAAATAAAGGAAAGAGCCGAGACCGGTTTGGCTCAATGAATAGAGCGTCGGCTTGGGGACTGAAGGGTCCCGGGTTCGATTCCGGTCAAGGGCATGTGCCTTGGTTGCGGGCACATCCCCAGTAGGGGGTGTGCAAGAGGCAGCTGATCGATGACTCTCTCTCATCAATGTTTCTAACTATCTCTCTCCCTTCTTCTCTGTACAAAATCAATTAAATATAATAAATATAATAAATAAATAAATAAATAAATAAATAAATAAAGGAAAGCGCATGAGATATTCACTTTGCTCCATATCAGGATAATTGTTGCAGGCTTCCTGCTTTGTAATTTTGCCATGAGAACAATAGACTGAAGGCCACTTGTGAGAGCCCAAGTGAGGAGGGGAAAGCTGTGATTATGTATCATTCCTTCCCATCATCTCAGGTATAAAAGGAGGAGGCAGGTCCACTTGCTGTGAGGAATTGGTGCTTCGATGGAGTGATGTTCTCAGATATTGGAAATAATCCAAGGAAAGGAACATCTGCCAATAGGGATCTGATTATCGATCCTAATACCAGATGATTGGGTCTTGGTTCAACATTATCTGTTCAGTAAAGACTTCTCTGTTCACTCTGTTAAAAAATGCACCACCACGACTGGCTGCCAGCACTCCTGATATAAACTTTTTAGCCCTGAATGCCACCTGCCATGCTGTGTTTCACTTAGTGCTTACTGCCTGTCCTCCCAACTGGAATGTAAGCTCACAAGGCGCTCCCAGCTTTGCTCTAGCCTAGTGTCTGCTATTCAGAGGATGCTTGGCAATCTTGATTGCAGGAATGCTGAATAAGAGTAGGAACTAAAAACACTGGGGGAGCCTTAGGCAGTTTTGCTCAATGGATAGAGCATCGGCCTGTGGACTGAAGGGTCCCAGGTCGATTCTGGTCAAGGCATATGCCAGGGTTGTGGGCTCAATCCCCAGTGTGGGGTGTGCAGGAGGAATCTGATCAATGATCCACATCATTGATGTTCCTATCTCTCTCTCCCTTTCTGAAATCAATAAAAATATATTTTTAAAAACAACAAACATACACCTGGAGGAAAAACCTGAACCCATCACTCAATAACTTAAAAAAAAGAATCATTATAAGACCTGGCAAGGAGTGAGGAATCACTGCTAAAATTTGACCAAAATTTCTTAAACATTGACCTCCTCAAGTTCAGAATCCAGATGAAAGAACAGAAATTGATCATTAAAATTTAAGGTCATCAGGAAAATCCAGATTGCTTGGAAATACTTCAGAATAAATAACCCAGTGTTTTCAGCATGTAAGTGGCAAAGGAAAAAAAAAATGGAAGGTTGATTCTATGTATTAAAAAACATCAATCACAGGATATGGACTCATTTGGATCTTGAGTTTTAAAAATTTGAAGATCTCAGCTGGCGTGGTTCAGTGGTTGAAAATCAATATATGAACCAGGAGGTCACAGTTCCATTCCCTGTCAGGGCACATGCCCAGGTTGCGGGCTCAAGCCCCAATGTAGGGCATGCAGGAGGCAGCTGATCACTGATTGTCTCTCATCATTGACGTTTCTATCTCTCCCTCTTCCTTCTCTGAAATCAATAATATATATAATTTTAAACTTTAAAAATTTGAAGAAACGTATAATGTCTTTGAAAAGAATTTGGAATTACGAACACCAAATAACTATTTGAATACTATTAAGTACACATTGTTAATTTCTTAGGTGTGATAATGGCGTAGAGTTATTGTGCTTTAAGTGTGATCTGAAGACCCCTGGGTTTTTCCAAGACACTTGCAGGGGATCCAGGAGGTCAATATTATTTAATAATCATAACAATACCTACACATTATTTCCCAATTTCATTGACTCAGCATTTGCACTAATGGTGCAAGAGCAGTTGGTGGAGGACCCCGCTGTTCCCACAGCAGGATTCCAGAGAGTGGCAGCAAAGGGACCTAGCAGTCATTGCACTCTGCACTCTCACGCAATTGCAGAAAGAAATATTTCACTTAACTTAATGAAACTGTAAGAATTGCTAATTGTATTACTAAGTCTCAACCTTTGAGTGCATGTAACTTAATGTTTTAATATTTTTATTGATTTTAGAGAGGAAGGGAGAGGGAGACATAGAAATATCAATGATGAGAGAAAATTATTGATCAGCTGCCTCCTGCAAGCAATACACTGTAGATCAAGCTTGCAACCCAGGCATGTGCCCTGAACTGGAATTGAAGGATGAATGGATAAATTATAGTATATCTAGACAATGGGATATTGTTCAGTGCTAAGAAGAAAAGAGCTGTCAAGCCTTAAATACAATACATATACTAAGTAAAGAAGTCAATCTGAAAAGACTACATACTGTATGATTCCAACTATTTAACATTCTGGAAAAGGCAAAAACTGTGAAGAAAATAGATTAGCCAAGGGCTCAGGGCTCAGGGAGAAATGAACAGATGGAGCACAGGGGATTTTTAGGGCAGTGAAACTATTCTGATACTGTAGTGGTATTTCATATGTATCAAAACCCATAGAATATATAACCCCAAGAGTAGACCCTAATGTAGACTATTGACTTTGGGTGAAGTGTCAGTATACATTGGATTGTAACAAATGTTCCACTCTAGTAGGGGATGTTAATAGTGGAGGCGGCTATTGATGTGTGGAGAAAGGTGGTATCTGGGAACTTTTTGTACCTTTTCCCCCCTCAATTTTACTGTGAACCTAAAACTACTCTAAACAAAGTAAAAAAGCTAATTGCAGCACACAATAGCTTTATGACCGATGCTATTTTAAAGGTGTGAATTTAACACAGTTATCTTTGAAAAGTGAGATTATGGGTATTTGCTTCCCCACCCCCCCCCCCTTTATTTTATACATAGATTCTATTTCATTCACAGATATAGATTACCTGTGTAACCTTTAAAAGGCAGGTTTTTGTATTGGGGGGGAGGTAGTGATTGTAACTCACAACCTGACCAGGAGGAAATGAACACTCCACGCTAAGGGATTCAGCAGCTCATTCCTACGGGCTAACCCAGGCGAAGACTTTCCCGCGAGTCCCTCGCTAGAGCATGGCCCCGCGGGCTTATGGGAAATGTAGTCCCGACGATCGCTGGACCGGTCTTCGGAGGACCCTGGGATGGCTAGCAGCCCCTGCCTCTGCGCATGCGCGAGGCTGGGAGCGCACCGGCGGCCGCCCTTCCCCCACCTCCAGCCGCGCGTGGGTGACAGGGCCCTGGGTCTCCACGCATCTTCGCCGCCCCGCGCTGTGACCGGGCCTGTCACGGAGCCACGAGTGGACACCGGCCCCTCTAGGTATGAGGGAGTCTGACCGGCAGCTCCGTGGGGTCGTGGGGACCGAGAGGACGGAGATGAGGCGTCGGCTCGTACCCCCGCGGGCGGGCTGGGAACTCAAACTTCGGCCACGCGCTGGAGGCGGTGACCCCTGGGGCGGCGTCGGGGGCCGCCCGGCGCGCGCTCCTCGGCGCGGGGTGGGCAGGGCTCGCCGCCGCCGCCGCCGCCGCCGGGCCGGACGTGTGGGGGCAGGGACGGTGGAGGGGGAGGGTGGCCGCGAGGCTGGCCTTCCTTCCTCCCCTTTGTCCGGAGAGGCGCCTCGGGCCGCGGCGTGGGTCCCGCGGGCGGGCGGGCGGGAGTCCGGAAGTCCGGCGGGACGCCCGTGGCCAGGCCGGCGGGTGCGCGCGAGGCCGGGGGCGGGGCCGGACACACCTGGCGGCGCTCACGTGCCACGTGCCGCGTCCCGGGCCTCGCGGCGGTGGGAGAATTGAAAGCGCCTGCGAGGTGCCTGGTGCACTGGGCGAGCCGCCGGAGGAGAGCGCGGCCGCTTTGCAGGAGCCTCTGCAGCTAGGAGTTCACCCCGCCCTCACCCCTGCCCCGGGGCTTCACTAGCATCTGGGGCTCCACCGAAGGAATGTCCGCTCAGAGGGGGAAGTGGTTTGCGCTGCTCCCACGGCCAGCTGGTGCTGCTGTGGGTGGCAAATCCCTTCCTTTGCCTCTGGACACTGCTCGCTGGTAGGTTTTTGCCTTGCAGGCGCTCTCAACGTCTCTCCAGTTGAATTTGCTGCTCTTGCCTTTTATGGCACCCAAAGCCTTCACTACTTTTGGGGCTATACATAAGTTTTCTGATGATTCCCAGTGGTCCTTTAGAACACTGTGGGTTGTTGTTGTTGTTTTTTAATTGGTGGTACACTTATTGTGATCCCGGTAATGGTTATGGTACATTAAATTAGGGGAATGTGCACCTTGATGATGTTGGGTCTTACTGTTGACCTTCCCCATTTGTTCAAGTCCTCTTTTATTTTTACCCCACCCTCTTGGAGTATTTTAAATTTTTTAATAAATAATTGCGTTTTTCTTATTACGTAGTTATTTCAACGCTATTGCAGATGGAATTTTTTGATTATTTTATCTTTTTCTCTTGTATTTGCTATTTCCCATTTTTTTTAAAGTTTGTGCATTTGAGATTTGTCCCTTTTTGTCCTCCATTAGCAGAGCCCTATCTCCCTATTTTTCTGTTTTATCCACGTAAGAAACATTCAAACCTGTAGATAATTTTTGTGAGTTTATTTAAGCCAAACTGTCGATAATTGCCAGGAAGCAAAAATCTCTACAGATTGAGAAAATGCTCCAGAGAATGGCAGTTTTGCATCTTATTTTATACTGGGTTTGGATAAAAAGTAAAATGATAAACATCTTTTAAAAAGGGTACAGGATAGTTAACAGTAAACAGTGAACAGAATAACAATAACAGTGAAAGGATTCTTGGTCTCAGCCTTGGTGCATTGGTTGTGCCCTGACAGGTCTGGGTAAAGGGAGGTATAAAAAAGAAAAAAAGCCCTAGCTGGTTTGGCTCAGCGGATAGAGCATCAGTCTGTGGACTGAGGGGTTCCCAGGTTCGATTCAGGTCAAGGGCACATGCCCAGGTTGCGGGCTGGATCCCCAGTAGGGGGCGTGCAGGAGGCAGCCGATCAATGATTCTCTCTGATCATTGATATTTCTGTCTCTCCCCTCTCCCTTCCTCTCGGAAATCAATAAAAATATATTAAAAGAAAAAGGAAGGTTACCTTAACATTCCAAAGGTATGTTATGGTAGATGCTAAAAGACAATAGACAGGTTTAATTAAGGTAAAGATTGACTTTTGTCAGGGAAGATTCTAGAGAACATGACTACCATTTATTTATTTATTTATTTATTTATTTATGAAAAATATTTTATTGATTTTCCACAGAGAGGAAGGAAGAGGGATAGAGAGCTAGAAATGTCAATGAGAGAGAAACATCAACCAGCTGCCTCCCTACCAGGGATGTGCCCACAACCAACGTACATGCCCTTGGCAGGAATCGAACCCTGGACCTCTCGGTCCACAGACCGACGCTCTACTGAGCCAAACCGGCTCCGGCATAGAAACTCCTTTTAGTTAAAAAAAATATATATTTAAAATATATTTTTATTGATTTCGGAGAGTAAGGGAGAGGGAGAGAGAGGGAACATCAATGATGGGATAGAATCACTGATTGGCGGCCTATTGCACGTGGCCGCGCCCCCCCCCCCCCCCCCCCCCCCGCCACTGGGGATGGGTGCCCTTGAAGGGAGTCGAACTCGGGACCCTTGTCCTCAGACTAAGGCTCTATCGAATGAACCCAGCTGGTTTGGGCAGTAATATTTTTAAATAACCAACTTTGGTTTCATTGAATTTCCCCATTTTTCTGTTTTCAGTGTCATTGATTTCTGCTCTTTATTATTTCCTTCCCTATGCTTGCTTTGGGTTAAGTTTGCCTTTTTTTTTCTTTTTCTTTTTCTTAAGGTGGAAGCTGAGGTCACTGAAACTTTTTTTTTTATAGAAATAGTTTAATGCTATAACTGTCCCTCTGAATACTGCTGTAGCTACATCTCAAATTTTTATATATTCCTTTCTCTGCGTGTTTTTTTAAACATCCCTTATGATTGTCTTTTTCACTTAGAAGTCTGTTTAATTTCTAAGCATTTGGGGATTTTCCAAATCTCTTTCTATTAATGATTTCTACTTTAATTCTGTTTTTAAAAAATATATACTCTCAAATTTCAATTCTTTAAAACTTGTTGAGGTTGGCCCTAGCTGGGTAGCTCAGTTGGTTAGAGCATCATCCTCATATATGCCAAAATTGGGGGTATGATTTCCAGCCAGGGCACATATAAAAGTTAAGCAATGAATGCATAAATAAATGGAACAACAAATTGATGTCTCTGTCTCTCTCTCTCTCTCTCCCTCCTCTCCTCCTATTTCCCCCACCCCCTAAAAATCAATTGTTAAATTAATTTTTAAAAACTTTGAGGTTTATTTTATGGTCAAGAATATGATTTATTTTGGTGACAGTTTCATATGTACTTTAATGACTATTGTACTGTGAATGGAGTCTTCTAGAAATAATACTGAATGGGTTAGGGTAGTTGATACTGTGGTTCAGTTCTGTATCCTTAGTGGTTTTCTATCTGTTCTGTCACTGAGGAATAAGTATTGACTATTCTATCTATAATTATGGATTTATCAATTTTTCCTTTTTGTAATCATTTCTTCTTGTGTTTTGAAGTTCTTTAGTTAGGTACATATACTTTTAGGATTATTCTGTATTAGTGGTGATTTGCCACATTTATTATTATTTGCCCCTCATAATATTCCTTCTGAAATTTATTCTGTCTGGTATTTGTGTAATCATTACAGCTTTTTTTCTTTGTGTCTGCAAAGTATATCTTTTTTTATCCTTTTACTTTTTAAAAATATATATATATTTTATTGATTTTTTTTTTTTATAGAGAGGAAGGGAGAGGGATAGAAAGTTAGAAACATTGATGAGAGAGCAACGTCGATCAGCTGCCTCCTGCACACCTCCCACTGGGTGTGTGCCCGCAACCAAAGTACATGCCCTTGGCCGGAATCGAACCTGGGACCCTTGAGTCCACAGACCGACACTCTGTCCATTGAGCCAAACCAGTTTCGACGATCCTTTTACTTTTGACCTAGTTATGTTTTTATATTTAAAACAGTCTGCTTATATACAGCACATAATTTGGCATCGCTTTTTTAAATTAAATCTTTATTCAGATTATTACAGTTGTTCCTCCTTTTTCCCCCCATAGCTCCCCTCCACCAAGGTCCCCCCCCCCCCCCGCAGCCCTTATTCTCTCCCCCTACTATCCTCATCCATAGGTTTATGATTTTTTAAAAATATATTTAATTGATTTTTTTGCAGAGAGGAAGGAAGAGGGATAGAGCGTTAGAAACATCGCTGAGAGAGAAACATCCATCAGTTGCATCCTGCTTACCTCCTACTGGAGATGTGCCTGCAACCAAACTATATGCCCTTGACCATAATTGAACCTGGGACCTTTCAGTCTGCAGGCCAACGCTCTATCCACTGAGCCAAACCAATTAGGGCATAGGTTTATGATTTTTGTCCAGTCTCTTCCCACAACCCCTACCCCCTTTTTCCCTAACCCCCAGGATTGTCAGTCCACTCCCTTTTTATGCCCCTGATTATTCACCAGATTATTCTGTTCATCAGATTTTTTATTCACTTGATTTTTAGATGCACTTGTTGATAGATATGTATTTATTGTTCATAATTTTTATCTTTACCTTTTCTTCTTTTTCCTCTTCTTAAAGAATACCTTTTAGCATTTCATATAATACTGGTTTGGTGTTGATGAACTCCTTTAGCTTTTTTCTTATCTGTGAAGCTCTTTATCTGACCTTCAATTCTGAATGATAACTTTGCTGGATAGAGTAATCTTAGTTGTAGGTTCTTGCTATTCATCACTTTGAATATTTCTTGCCACTCCCGTCTGGCCTGTGTAGTTTCTGTTGAGAAATCAGCTGACAATTATATGGATACTCCCTTGTAGGTAACTTTTTCTCTTACTGCTTTTAATATTCTCTCTTTGTCTTTTGCTCTTGGCATTTTAATTATGATGTGTCTTGGTGTGGTCCTCTTTGGATTCCTTTTGTTTGGGGTTCTGTGCGCTTCCTGGACTTATAAGTCTATTTATTTCACCAGGTGGGGGAAGTTTTCAGTCATTATTTCTTCAAATAGGTTTTCAGTATCTTGCTCTCTTTCTTCTTCTGACACCCCCATAATTCTGATGTTGGTTCGCTTGAAGTTGTCCCAGAGGCTCCTTACACTATCTTCATATTTTTGGATTCTATTTCTTTTTGCTTTTTTGGTTGGGTGTTTTTTGCTTCTTTGTATTTTAAATCTTTGACTTGATTCTTGTGATCCTCTAGTCTGCTGTTGGATCTTTGTATATTATTGTTTATTTCAGTCAGTGTATGCTTAATTTCTGGTTGGTCCTTTTTCATATCCTTGAGGGTCTCACTAAATTTATTGGTCTTTTCTAGAAAATTCTTGAAAAACCTTATAACCTTGGTTTTGAACTCTATATCTAGTCATTTGCTTTCCTCCATTTCTGTCATTTGTGACCTGTTTCTTTGTCTCTGCATTTTGATAGAGTGGCTTTGTGTGCTAGGTGTCCTATAGGGCCCAGTGGCTCAGCCTCCCCAATTACATGAGGTGGACATTCTTGGTGCACCCCTTTGTGGATTGTGTGCACAGTCTTGTTGTAGTTAAGCCTTGATTGTTGTTGGTATCACTGGGAGGAATTGACCTCCATGCCAATTGGCTGTGAGGATCAGCTGTGTCTATGATGGGAGAACTTCTGTGCTGGAGACACCCTTATGAGGTAAGACTTGCTTCAGTGGGGCTTTGGTGCTCACTGAGTCTACCTCCTGAGTGTGTCCCTTATGGATCTGAGAAGTTGTATCTAGATGATCCTACTCTGACCCCTGGGTACACTGGCTCTCAGATCTCCAATGAGGTGCTAATTTAGCCTCTGCCTGAGGGCATGCAACAGGAGCTATGGAGAGATCTGCAGATTCCTCTTCTTTGTTTGGGTTTTGGAGATGCCCAGATGAGGCCCAGTTGTGAAGCAATGCAAGCTGCTGTGGGGCCTTGGACCTTCTTTTGGATGTTCTGGGTCTCACTGACTCAGCTGCAGTTTGTTAGGTTATTTTAGATTTCAAAGGATCAGGCCAGTAGTTGGCAAACTCATTAGTTAATAGATCCAAATATCAACAATATGATTGAAATTTGAGAGCCATATTTTTGAAACTTAAACTATATTGGTTGCTACATTGTTATTAACTTAATTAGGTACTCCTAAACTGGCCTTTGCTAAAAACTCAAGGGGCCAAAGAGCTGCATGTGGCTTGCGAGCTGCAGTTTGCCGACCACTGGATCAAGCCATCCATATGCAAAAGCCTCTGTGCACAGCTGGGATGAGTCAGAGTCTCAGGGTGGAGCAAATAGCAATGGCTTCCCGTCAGCCTTGCCCTAAGAAGCCCGCAGGTCTCAGTGTCCCTCGGTAATCAATGCAAGCACCTCTGAGAGAAAGTCGCCCTTGTGTTCCGGCCAGATGCCCGACAGTCCAGTTTCTCCCCATATGAGTCTGGGTCCCCAAAGTCTCTCCCAGAACTGGAGTTCAGAGCAGTCAGGAGCTTGTGTCTCCCTCTCGATTGAAAAAGCCAGCCGCGTACTCAGACGGTAGCCCGCTCTGCCCACGCGCCTCTGTACCTCTGCACTTTACTTCCGCACCTTCTCTGAGTCTCATTGTGCTTTTCTCTTCCCTTCTAGTTGTAGAATTTCCACTCAGCCAGCCTTCCTGTGGTTCTGGGTGATGTCCGTTTTGTCTTTCAATTGTAGTTTTGAAGTGGTTGTGCAAGGCAGCGAATTCAGGTGTTTACCTATGCCGCCATCTTGGTTTCTCCTGGCATTGTTTTTTTTATTGATAACCTTTGTCATTTAATTGGTGTGTTTATACCAGTTTAATCCAGTTGTTGCTGGATTAAAATCAGCCATCTTGTCCCATCTGATCTTTGTTCTTATTTTCCTCTTTTTCTGACTGCTTTTGGATTTTGTGACTACTTTTTATGATTTCATTTTTTTCTCGCCATCTGCTTATCATTTATACTGCTTTAAAATTTTGTTTCTGTTGTAATCACAGTGGACCTTAAATAATATTATGTGTGTAATGTAAGATCCTTAAAATAGTATATTCCCAATTTCATTACTTCACTCTTTGTGCTATTGTTTATCTTTATTTTTAACCATTGATGAGATCTTTATTTCCTTGTGTAGATCCAGGTTTTTGTCTGGTATCATATTCCTTCTATCTGAAGAACTTATTTAAATAAAATATATCTTATAGTACAGATCTATTGTAATGAATTCTGTTTTTGCTTATTTAAAAAGGATTTTATATCTTTTTTATTTTGAAAGGTATATTTGCTAGGTATAGAATTCTGGTTGATAGATTTTTAAAAAAGCACATTAAAGATGTCAGTGCATTGTCTTCTGACTTGTATATTTTCTGATTAAAATGGCTGTGATTATTTCTTTCTCTGTATATAGTATGCTTATTTTCCCTCTGGCTGCTTTCATGACTTCCTCTTTGATTTTGGTTTTTAGTGGTCTGACTATGATGTATCCTTGTGTGTTTTTGCTTTTTTGTGTGTTTTTCTTTTATTTTTTTCGGTCTTTATTTTTTATTTATTTATTTATTTATTTATTTATTTTTTTACAGAGAGGAAGGGAGAGGAATAGAGAGTTAGAAACATTGATGAGAGAGAAACAGCCATCACCTGCCTCCTGTACACCCCCTACTGGGAATGTGCCTGCAACCAAGGTACATGCCCTTGACCAGAATCAAACCTGGGACCCTTCATTCTGCAGGCCGATGCTCTATCCCACATGTGTCAAACACAAGGCCCGCGGGCCAAATCCGTCCCGCCAGGCCTTGCAATGTGGCCCGCACCGCGCTGTCATCACTGCACTCCGCTGCGTTTCCATCACAATGACAGTTTATGACTGTTCAGTAAACCATTCGGCCCGCGATTTAGGCTGGATTTTAGATTTTGGCCCCTTCTCTGATTGAGTTCGACACCCCTACTCTATCCACTGAGCCAAACCGGTTTTGGCACCCATTAAAGCCTTTAATGTATGATTTATATTTGTTTTAAATTCCATGTCTATATTTATTAGTTGAGGTTTCTGTTGATTACTTTTTTCTTTTTTTTTTTTTAAATATATTTTATTAATTTTGTACAGAGAGGAAGGGAGAGAGATAGAGAGTTAGAAACATCGATGAGAGAGAGTCATCAATCAGCTGCCTCTTGCACACCCCCTACTGGGGATATGCCCGCAACCAAGGTACATGCCCTTGACCGGAATCGAATCCGGGACCCCTCAGTCCCCAAGCCGACGCTCTATCCATTGAGCCAAACCAGTCCCGGCTGATTACTTTTTTTTCTTGATAGTGGATGTTTTTACTCATGCCTTTACAGGTGTGTCATAATGTGTGATTGAAGGTGGATGCTGCCAGTACGATCCTTTCTGCCCCCTTTTGGCTTTTATATATATTTATATTGATTTCAGAGAGTAAGCGGGGAGGGAGGAGGGGGGGAAGAGAGAGAGAGAGAGAAACATGAATGATGAGAGAGAGTCATTAATTGGCTGCCTCCAGGAATCTAACCTAGATTTCCTGGTTCATAAGTAGACATTCAACCACTGAGCCACACCAGCCAGGCCTTTCTTCCCCTTTTTGAAGAGGCAAAGTGACTATCCCAGGAGGTGGTGTTTCCCCAGGTGATGTGCAGGGATTTCTTGGAGTTCTGAAGCAGGTCATAGCTTTAATAACAATACCTTCCTTTTTGCTTTATTCCAGGTCTGCCTTATATCTGTGCCTTTACCTAAAAGCTACCGAAAATGAACAAATCCCAGGTGAGTTATTTATTCCCAATTTTGTTTTTTTTTAGTACATTTGAGGAAGTTTATTAGGATTCAGAATATGAATCAGAGAAGTATAGATAAGTGAAATGCAAGGAAAACAGAGTAAATATAATACCAGCAGCTGAAAAGCAAACCAAGTTTATTAAATGCCTTACATTGGTTATGAATACCATTTTCTTGGTTGTTTAGCATTAAGGTCTGAAGAAATTTTATAAACCTTCCTTAGATGGTGTTTTAGACAGCATCTGCAGAAACAACCCAAATTAAAAGGGTTATTAATTTGTCTACAGTTGTTTTATATACCATTCTTCAGTACAAATGTAGAATTTTATTATGTGTATTTTATTCTTCTAATCAAATTAGCATGATGCAGAAAACTCAGTAAATATTTGGGTGTGTATTTAAATTCTCATCTAACCTCCACAAGTTTCATTGTTATTATTTTCTTGAGTAGCTTTCCAGAGTTTATTTGCGCATATGTACCAGGTACAAAAATAGATTATTATAAGGTACATTATTAATCATACTGTTCTATTTATATGTTTTGTTTTTAATTAGTAGACTTTATTTTTTGGAGCAGTTTTGGGTTTACAGAAAATTTGAGTGGAAAAGTACCGAGAGTTCCCTTATATTCCTTCTACACACAGTTTCTCCTAATATCTACATTAATGTGGGATACCTGTTACAACTGATGAGTCAATATTGACACTTCAACTAATGTACGTAGATTACATTGAGATTCACTCTTGGTATTGTATATTCTGTGGGTTTCGACTAACATATAACGGCGTGTATCTTCCATTTTAATATAGAGAATAGTTTCACAGCCCTAAAAATCCCATGTGCTCTATTTATTTATCCTCACTCCTCTCTGAGCCCCTGGCAGACTCTGCTCTTTTTTTTTGGACAGCAGTTATTCTCTTTTACAGGTGGAAACTGAGGCAGAGAGTGGGTAAATGTTTACCCAAGATTGCAAAGAAGTAGGAAGCGTGGAATCTTAACACTTTGCAGTTACAGGGGCCTTTTTCAAACCCAGTTTCTCTTTTGATTCCTTCCAACATCCTTGTGGGGGGAGAATTACCTTGTAAAGCTGAGGAAACCAGGTTCTGAGATACGCTACTTGCCCAGGCCTACAGCATGCCGGTGGGTAGTCCTGGGCCTTCCCAAGGCAAGGCTTACCCGTCACCCCACGGGCCCCGTATCTTGTAGCTGACTTCTTATTCTGCTCCTTGGCGATGGAGTCATTGAGCTTCCTCTCAAATTGCCAGGGGAGAATCCACACACCATTCACCATCTCCACCAAGACAAATATCCGGCCCACACTGGGGGTTTGCACATCTACACGCAGCTGGCATTGCATGACTTTCCCACCACTCTTTTTACTGTCTTTGTTGTTGAGCTTTTCCAGAATGTCATATATTATAGTTGGAATCATACAGAATGTAGTCTTTTCAGATTGGTTTCTTATGCTTAGAACAGGCATTTACGATTCTCCTGTGTCTTTTCATGGCTTAATAGATCATTTCTTTTTAGCACTGTATAATACTTGGTTTTATGACTGTACCACCATTTATTTATCCATTCACCTATTGAAGGGGCATCTTGGTTACTTCCAAGTTTTGGTAATTGTGAATAGTTTCATATAAGCATTATGTGCAAGGTTTTGCATAGACATAAAATACTAAGCATAATTTCTAGATTGTATGTCGAGTATGTTTTGTTTTGTAAGAAATAGCTAAACTGTCTTCCAAAGTGGCCGTATCATTTTGTATTCCCACCATCAGTGAGTGAGAATTCTTATTGATCTACATCCTTGCCAGCATTTGGTGTTGTCAGTGTTGTAGATTTTGGTTATTGTGTAGCAGTGTCTTGTTATAATTTGCAAGTCCCTGATGACATGATATGGAGCATATTTTCATGTACTTATTTTCCATCTGTATATCTTTTTGAGTCAGGTGTCTGTTATGACTTTGGCCCCCCTCTTTTTAAAGATATAGCTGTTTTTTGTTTTGCGTGTGTGTGTGTGTGTGTGTGTGTGTGTGTGTGTGTTGTTTGTTTTAATCCTCACCCGAGGCTATTTTCCATTGATTTTTTTAGAGAGTGGAAGAGAGAGGGAAAGACAGAACTATCCATGTGAGAGAAACACATGGATTGGTTGCCTCCTGCACAAGTCCCATCCCGGGCCCTGGCCAGAGAGGAGCCTGCAACTAAGATATGTGCCCTTGACCAGAATCAAACCCAGGACCTTTTGGTCCCCAGGTTCACACTCTATCCACTGAGCCAAACTGGCTAGGGCAGTGGTCAGCAGACTCATTAGTCAACAGAGCCAAATATCAACAGTACACTGATTGAAATTTTTTTCTTTCTTTTTTTTTTTAAATATATTTTATTGATTTTTTACAGAGAGGGAGGGAGAGTGATAGCTACAAACATCGATGAGAGAGAAACATTGACCAGCTGCCTCCTGCACAGCCCCCACCGGGGATGTGCCCACAACCAGTGTACATGCCCTTGACCGGAATCGAACCTGGGACCCTTCAGTCCGCAGACTGACGCTCTGTCCATTGAGCCACACCGGTTTTGGCTGAAATTTTTTTTGAGAGCCAAATTTTTTAAACTTCTTCTAACGCCGCTTCTTCAGAATAGACTCGCCCATGCCATGGTATTTTTGTGGAAGAGGCTACAGTGCGAACTGAGGCTAGCACCATAATGTGAGATGAGGCCAGATGCTGGACTTGTGGTGACTTAATGGAAGTATAATATATTCCAGACCAAGTCTGGCTGCCACTATGCCAGGCTTGGGCCACTTAGGGGAGTTACAATGCAAGTTGAGATGGTCACCATTTGTGCTGGACTTGGAGGCACTTATCAAGAGCTATAAGGTATACCAAGGCTGCCTACTAATCATTTGGTTTTGTGAACTTTTGAGAGACTTTGGGAAAATTCACAGCATGAGCCAAGGCAAGCCACTTACGGAGATGAACCACTGGAAGAGGCTTGGGCCGAGGGCTGGGCTCTTAGTGAATCACGGGGGCAGGGTGAGCAGTGTGACCAGGCTAGTGGAAGCACAGATTAGATGTCTGCCTGCATCTGGCCACTGGGTGGGAGGAGAATTCCACAAAGGAACAATGGCTGGGGCCTGCCAGCACTTTCAGCCCCAAAAGACTTGCCTTGACCCCTGTCCCTCAGTGTAGTTCCTTCCCTCACCTCCCTGGCTCTTGCGTGCTGCTGCCCCTGCACTGAAACTTGTAGTGAGCTGGTGGGCAAGTGAGTCTTTGTATGGCCCTTTAACACGTTAAGCACCATGTCAGTCACCGGCGACTGACACTACACTTTCCGTCCAGACCAGTCAGTCACTGGTGTCACCAGCTTATCGGTGAAATTGGATACCTCGGGCTAAACGGAAAGGAAGACAAAACAGGCTTGGCGCTTAACGTATTAAAACCTGCAACGCCTCAGTCTCTAGCAGCCCTTTATCTTTCTGGGATACAGTCCCCACTGGTTTTCACAACCAGATGTTATGGTCACTCTCCTTTCCAGCACTGATGTCCTAGGGCAGTGATCAGCAAACTCATTAGACAACAGAGCCAAATATCAACAGGACAGCCATTTAAACTTCTTTTGAGAGCCAAAAACCGACTTCTGCGCATGGGTCACGAAGTTTCAATTGTACCTGCTTGCCCGCACGTGGTATTTTGTGGAAGAGCCACACTCAAGGGGCAAAGAGCCGCATGTTGCTCGCGAGCCGCAGTTTGCTGACCACTGTTCTAGGGGGAATCTCAGCAGCCTAAATTCCACAGGGGAATCGTGGGTGTGGGGCCTGTTTCAAGTCTCTGCCCCTTTTACCAGTCTCCACATTGCTGTTTCTGTATGTCCTTAGTTACAGGAATTCTGTTCGTTGAGTGTTCAGGTGGTTCTCAATGATGGTTCTATAATGTAGTTGTAATATATGTATATATATGTATATGTATACATACATGTATATGTACATTTATTTATTAAGGTATTATATGTGTACATATCTTACCATTGCCCCCCCCACTCCCATACATGCCCTCCCTCCCCAGAGTTTTTGTCCATTGGTTTTGCTTATATGCATGCATACAAGTCCTTCGGTTGATCTCTTATCTCCCCCAGATCTCCCTATCCTCCCCGCTGTAATTTGACAGTCTGTTTGTTGCTTTACTGTCTCTGTATCTATCTTTTTGTTCATCAGTTTATAATGTTCTTTATTATCCATAAATAAGTGAGGTCATATGGTGTTTCTCTTTCATTGACTGGCTTATTTCACTCAGCATGATGTTCTCCAATTCCATCCAGGTTGCTGCAAATGACAAGAATTCCTTCTTTTTTTATGGCAGCATAGTATTCTTTTGTGTAGATGTACCATAGTTTTTTTTTTATCTAATCATCTGCTGATGGGCATCTAGGCTGTTTCTGTAGTTGTAATTTTGATGTGGTTGGAGGAGGAGGTGATCACAGGGTGTATCTACACTGCCATTATGACAGGATGTCCCATTGTCCAATATCTATTTTTATGATATTTTCTCTAATTGAATCCTCACAGTAGGTAGCTATCTTTTTCTTTTTCTTTTTGTAAATATGTTTTTATCGATTTCAGAGAGAAGAAGGGAGAGAAAGAGATAGAAATATCAATGATGAGAGAGAATCATCTATCAGCTGCCTCCTGCATGCCCCAACTGGCGATTTAGCCCACAACCCGGGCATGTGCCCTGACCAGAAATTGAACCAGGACCTCCTGGTTGGTAGAATATCTTCACCCTGGCCTCCCTTCAAAACTGAGTTTTTGCCAATTAACTGCCTCTAGATGGGTGGTAGCTATTATTTATATATTTTTGATAATCATTCCCTTAAAGATTTTACCATTTGTATGTGCATCTCTAACCAATATAAACCCTAATAAATCAGTTTTTTTTGTTTTGTTTTTTTATCCTTACCTGAGGATATGTTTTTTATTTTTAGTTAATCAT